TGAAAACATGTAATTATCTTTAATTATTATTGATAAAAATGTAACGTAACAGCGAATGTTCATATAATTATATTTTTGTGGATTATTCTATCAGTTTATAAAGCCTGAGCAAAGTACAACGACTTAGAATAATTGTACTGTATTTGAATGTTAATTCAAATTCCAGTTAAAGTTATAATATATGTCATTTATTGTTAACACTACAATTCTAAATGTGTCAAGTTTTCCTAACTCGATGAAATAATGACGTCAAGTCAACAGTTTACGAAATTCGCATCTCATTTTGATATATTATTATACTTGTAATAACGCTTCGTCGTCAGCTTATAATAACGTCGCGGCCGAGGGGCTCAGAGCACACCCAAATTAGGGGTGACTAGGCCATAGTTGACTTCACACATATATTTGAATTTCTTCGCCGATATGTGCAGGTTTTTTACGATGTTTTCCTTAACCGTTAAAACATCGGTTAAATGTAGGTACATGTGGAATTCGCAAATCGAAAACAAACTGGTACATGACGGAGATCGAACCTGGACGTTTAGATTACGGTCTAGTCCGTTGAAGCGAATAACAACTGCTCTATTATAATTATTGACTTTCTTATAAATTCCCCTCTTCAACAATATTTATTAAATTGTTTCAGGCATGCGTATGTGAGTTGCGTAAAATTATGGGCATTAATACACCGTTTCACTGTTTTCAATTAGTTTTAATCGACTTAATATAAAAATTCGCAAAGTTTATTTAGACACGGTAGTAATCTATCGTGTAACATTGTTGCTGCGAGTTTCCGTCAGAGAAACAAACTCGAATGTATTATACAAAAATATGTTATCATCTCTCTTATTCCTTTTGGAGAAACGGCGGTAACAATATGTGTTGCGACAGTGGAAGTCCTCGGTTACGTTGATTGTTGAAGGAAGCGTTTATTAGTCGTGGTAACTTTATCTCAGGAAGCCCGGCAAGTGACACTTTATTCAAGACGCGAAGAAAGAAAACTTTTCCAGTTTATACATGTTTTCAAAACCTTTTCTTATTTGTATATCTAAATTAAAATATAGCTTATGTATGTAGATATTTATTAAATTTACTGGATTGAGCACGTACTCGTATGTAAAGTAAGTATATATTGATAAGAATAACAAAACATTAAAATTTGCATTGCAAATGATATAATTACAAAAAAAAACAAGGCAAATAAAATGGTGCTAGAGTTTTATAATTAAATCATAATAGACTTTAGCAACACGACCACGAAAACGAAATAGAACCCCAACTTATATAAAGTAGCGCGGATTTAGTTCGTCTCAAAAAAACCATTTATCAGCTAAGTACAGAATGTGATACTATATTGAATGTCTATTAAATTTTCGCTTCATTTTTATATGTTGCGCGCTATATTTTGCTTTGTTTTAGTTCGCTTTCGCGGCAGTGTGCTACAAGTCTTGGAGGCCACATGTGTATTACATGAAAAAAATATTTTAAAACGGCTGTTTTTAATTTGCTTTGTATTTAAGATACATCATAAAAAACACGGTTTAAAGTTATATATAATATATTTATAGAACAATTGATTTTTTTTTACCCGACGCGAAAACTTAAGACTTTCTTTTGCTAAATACCCCTTCTAGTCTACATAAGTGCAAACTTTACTTGAGCTCGTCGATATTTCAATATTGATATGAAGTGGAAAAGGCAACCGCTCAGTCATTTGTCAATTTACCAATAAACGACTTGAGACTGAAATTGCCTTCGCCTTTGCATCAACACTGAGAAGTAATTACCTGTCATGCATTACGTTCATAAGTTGTTACGTGTTTTCAATTAAACTACGCCATTATCAGCCGCTAGGCTCACCGAATGCAATAGCTAACTATGATTACCATTTATTTCTTAAACTTGATAAATTCTTAGATTCTTAGTGGACGCTTCAAATGTTCGAAAGACGTGATGGAGTGAATTTTATGGGTCTATTGTAAAAACAGATCCTACTTTTATCTAAATTGTCATTCGATGCCCTCGATGTTATTGCAGATTGGCATGATTATATGTGCTGTATATGGAATCCCGGATATTGATCCTGCGGACCTTAACAATACACTATTTTTTTATTTCTGTTTAATTAAAAATTAAGTACCTATTGTTTTGTAAAATGAGTTAGGTTACTTAGTACTACTAGGTAATCGTGTGACATGAGGTAAACAATCAACCTAATACATTACTCACTGGGTTTCTTGACATCTTGTGTGACACCTTCTTCTGACATCTTCACTTTGTTTTAATACTTCTTAACAATCACTCGAAGAAAAGGAAAATGTATCAACCACAATTATAATTTAAAGTTAATCTTAAACTATAACCTTGAGTCCATTTTAATTCGAATTAATATTGTAATTAAAAATTAAATTATGTACAAAATACTGTTAATTGTGATGGAAAATGTTCATTATGTGTTGAACTTGTATAAAGTTTACTTTCTTTGGCTAATATTTTGGTTCGGTGTGATTACAATAAAAATATGTGTTGTTGCGCGCGCGTTCACCGCGGCGGCCGTGCGCACTGCGATTGACTGCGATGCTTTTTTTCTTTTCTTTTGTATTTGTACTGCGAAGGCGAAGGCGAGCGCCGGCCTCGCCTTCTTATCAATGTCAACCTGAACTCGACATTTTGCAATTCTTTTTTATACCTTTTTTAATATAACAATATCATAAGTATTCAACATTTGTTTAGAGTCAAAATGATCATAGGTATCATTGGGTATATCAGTTAACGTGTAAAACAGAATTAAATTCGCAACACAAAACCTCGTAGTATTGCATCAGGATCCCACAAAACTGAGTACCAGCTGGTTACCCACTGAAACTGTTACTAAGAAAAGGGTTGCTGTACAGATTGACACATAGAAATTAGAAACATTAGAATATAGTGTGCACAAACGTGCTTGTGTTGCAACTAGTATTATAAGAATAATTTCTAACAAATTCATTTTGCATTTTGATTTGATGTCTTAACAAGAAATAAATGTCTGTTTTGAAGTAGACCAAACTATTTTAAACAATAAAGAGAGCACTGCCCTCTATAATATAATATAAACTTAATCTTTTTGTTAAGTGTTACAAGTGAACAATGTTAATGAATTAGATAATTGTAGCGTTAGCAAACCTACATATACTGCGAGGTACAATTAATTAAAGAAGCCACCCAAAGCAACCCTAATATTAATTATATACATAGTATTAATGTAGGTTTCTACATATATTGTTGTAATGTATCAATACAATGGAAACACACAGTTTAAGCAACTGTATCATTAGTTGCGCGTGCGCAGCCGCTCGAACGCCGACATGCGACGCTGTTGCGAGACGCGTGCCGTTCTCCGCACACTCGATGATATTTATGTAATATTATAACAATAGCAGATACGAATTAGTTTTCTTCATATTTTTCTATTCTTCAGCAAATCTGGAAACCTCCGTTTGGTTTTGTGTTTGTTGTGTCATTTTGGAGTATAAAGTCTAAAAGTATTATAGATAATACGTTCTTTTTTAAATACGCGCTTCTGTTTTTATCATATTTTTTACATTAATCATTTTGTCGGACAATATATTTATGAATAACCATAGAATTTGACTTCCGCGAGACTTGTATTAATAAATATTGCAACGTATGTACATTAGATTATTTGCAGCGGTTTGTAGGTACACATTTATAATTCTATTCAATCATAGGATTCGTGTCGAATATTAACTAACCATATTTAAAATTAAACAAATTAGCAAAACTGATCACATTGGTCGAGTAAAAGAAGTGAAGTGGGGTCTCAAATGTCGCTTCGCTGTTCTGACATTTGGACGTTAAAGCGCGCTCAGAGACAAACACCATCTTTTCATACTAATTAGATATGTAGATAAAACATAATTTTATTTATTATGAAATAATTTATGCAGAAACACTACTGCTGTTACAGTTTTCATTTTTTATCCTCAGTCTTGAATTGCAACAAACTGACCTTCGAGAAAATGTTTTTGTAGAGACATGACAAATTAACAAAACCTGAAATGATGTGTATTTAAATAAATTGAGGTAAAGTTTTGCATTGACCCAAAAAGTTTGTGACATGTAAGCTCAATTTATTGTTTTAGAAAAATAAAATTTTTGGGTTTCCTCAAAATGGAATTAATTTAAATAAAGGAAGTTCGTCCATTGATAATATTTATGGCGGTGGGTACTACTGGAGGAGATACTACATTCAGGTCAGGATTAGAATCAGTGGAGGGAATGACGTCCGGAAGCTGCTCAAACTTTACCTCTGATAAAGTTTTAAACATAAATCCATTTTATGTCTTTTGTCATTAAATATTACTTTAATACAATTCACATTAATTTATTTCTTTAAGTTTTGTTTGACAAATTGTAGTAAAAATTAATGTTTAATCAATCATAAAATATTAAAAGAATTAAACTTATAACCATTTTTTTTCCTTATGATAATGTGTTTGACCTTTATTATGCACATAAAATAAACCTAAGTGACACGTTCCGATGCACCTAAATGTATACATAGCTACAAACATGTGTATGTGTGAGTGAAGGATAACAAATGTACCTCGACCTGTATTGATATATTTACAAAATTTCATGGAAATCGTAAACTGTTCGTATTATTATAACTAAAGGCCGTTCATGTTGCAGACAGTCAAAATGCATTAGGCTGCCTAGATGATATAACTCAGTTAACCAGTCATGCAAAAATGTGACGTATACATATCTAACATCACAATAGATTCAGTTAAACAATATGATAGATGTTTTATAATAATTATTACTGATATAAATAATAACAATTGCTCAAGTTGAAGAAACCTCGTGCGACTTGTAAACATAAGTAAAAACTACGATAAGAAACATTCCTCAAGTGCTTTATCTGATTTCAAGCACCGGATTGCATAATTTGAGAATTTCGACGGCTAACGTAATATGTCATTTATCATTCCTCGACATTTCAAGGTTGCACATCTCCATTTCATTCATTTCCTTCCACTCTATTGACGCCAGAGAAAATGCACCAAAACTTTTAATCAACCTTTTGCTTGCGTGTTTTTAATATTCTATTTTTATTATTTACACTTATAGTATTATCATGATTTTGAAATAGCAAAACATTCCGATTTTAGCAAACCGTCCTTAATAACTGAATCAAAAAATTTGTAAGTTACACTAAAATACTTTAGTTGAAAATACTAAAGCATGAAAATAAGTTAAAGGAATCGTAGGACCCTACCAGCAAGACAGGCCCCTACCTTTTCAAGCATGCTTACATTTTAAATTATCGCGACAAAAATCTTTCAGGCGTTGAAAATATCCTACAATTACTTTAAAGGTATAACTTTATAACTATCTTTTTTTTTAAGGTTGGAAAATAAATTATTTAAACACGATCGTGGAGTAGCAGCGACCATTGCTGGTGGTTATCGGGTAAAAAATGAATCGAATATTATTTTGTCAAGTCATTTGATTACCATGAAGCTGACTGATCATCGCATTAATCCGTCACGATATCACCGACATCAAAACAAATGACACCTGAGTGACAAGACAAGCTTATCACGAAGAGAGTCATGCCAAGCGTCGACATGTCGGCATCTCACGCATCGCACGCATCGAATCAAGCGCGTTCACTAAACCTCATCGTATAGATCGCACATCGGTGACGGTACATTTGGAATTGTCAATCCGATCACTGTCAATACAGTGAAAGCAGTATGAAAAGATAATTCGTATGATGCGGTGCGTCCCATAAGAACCTGTGGACGCTTCGCAATAGACCGGCTTTACATTACCACAGTTTAAAATTATATCGGTGTATGAGTGGGCGTTAGAGAGTTAAAAATAACCTTAAAATAACTCAAATGATATCTGAATTACCTAATTCCTGTTACAAAAAAAAATAATATGCAGTATATATAATATGATGTCTAAAACATACGTACATTTACTCTTAAATCGCTAGTGCAAAAGCAGTGCTTTGTTTCTGAGAAGCAATCTAACTTACACCTGAAATCGATCGCTTCTAATTTAGTTCCGCAGAGCTACAGTTACGTTTTCAAATCCAGTAAGTTGTCCAATGGAGCTGCGTTCATTGATATTCACGACTAATCTCTCTTCTGGCGTCCGGGGCAGGGACGGGAGCTAGGGTCGAGGCTTCAGTTCCGTTAAAAATTTAGTATCTGTTCGCTCAATATTTCTCAGGCAAAGTGCTGAAAGTAATCCCTCATGACCGTCGTTGAATTTTTAATCGACTGAACAAATAAATGTTGCATACAAATCGCATTATTGTAACATTAAATGCAACCTGTATGAAATATTTGCATAAAATATGTGGACACGGGTCGATATCAATTTATCATCAACATCATCAGCTCACTATACGTCCCCACCGAGGGGCTCGGAGCCTACCCTAAGTTAAGGGTGATTAGGCCATAGTCAACCACGCTGGAAAAGTGCGGGTTGGTTGACTTCACACAAATCTTTGAATTTCTTCTCAGATATGTGCAGGTTGCATCACGATGTTTTCCTTCACCGTACGAACGTCGGATAAATGTACATATGTAAATCGGAAATCGAAAAACACATTGGTACATGGCAGGATTCGAACCCAGGACCTGCAGATTGCAAGTCAAGTGCTTGACCACTGTGCCACCGACGTTATATCAATTTATGCAAAATCAATATTTCCTTGTGAAAGAGATTAAATGAAAAGTATCACAAAAGTGAATAATAATAGCTTTAATGTTGCCCCCATCACAATGTCCATGAAGTCAGGCTCACCTCAGCGTATGAGGTGAGCTGCTGTCATTTCTTCTCCTGATTTTAATTTGATCCTTGTCATGAACTCATGAAGGCTAGAGCCATATTAAACAATGTAAATAGTCATATAAAATAAAAACAGACACCAATATATCAAATAGATTTTTATTTGTTGTCCTTTTTGTCACGAACATTAATATTTCTACCTAGTATAATCCTAATAAATTACCTAAATGACATGACATAAAAAGAAATTCGTCACTTTTGCTCCATCTTCAGCATAGGACTGTACTCTTTAACATTTTCAGCTTCTTTCTCTTGTGTGGGCTCATTCCAGTCCGCTCGCTCTGCAGTGCCTAAGATGATGTACACGAGGTTGGTGAAGAAGTACATCCCGGCGGCCACGAAGAATACTTGACGCCAAAGTAACTCACTCGTCTATAATAGTACACAACGTGATTCACAGCAGATCTGCACAATATTCCACGTGCCTTATTGAGTAAAAAGTAAGAAATCAAGTCGTTCAAGTTTCGAAGTACAAAAAATCTTGATAAGACAAAAAACAAAAACAAGGTAATTCTGATATATAGAAATCAAAAACTTTATGTTATTGTTGTATCATAAAAAGAAATACTTTTAATGACTTAAATAATCTGAATATGGGAAATAGGAATGTTTATTAATTGATATTTCATTCAAAGTGATACATTACTTTCAATAGTGTGAACATGTTGACACTTACAACGTCAGTGAGTATAAAGCCGGCCACAATGGGCGCCAGTGAGCCGCACAAGTTGGACATGAAGTTGCTGAGGCTCATCATGGTCCCCGAAAAGTTGGGCGATATGTCGATGTGGTTCACCTAAAAATTGATAAGCCAGTGTTAGGATCAATACATGACGTCAATGTGATATTAATTTAAGTTTATTGTAATTTGATTTTTAATATTTTTATAATAAAGAAATAAAGAAATTCCCGCACCCCAGGTCCCTGACATAGTCTAAGTTAGGGGAACGAGAGGGTGGCATAGAGCCACCCATTAAAAAAAAAAAAAAAAAAAAAAAAAAAAAAAAAAAAAAAAACATGACGTCAGATGTTTGCATTTGTTTTAAAATTAGCAAGATATAATACTGACATAAACTCCGACGTGAGTAGCGACCTTGAAGCCGCAAAATATCACCAGAACACATTCTACAATCACCAATTCTTTGGGCACAAACGCGAGCACCACAAGACCCACTGAGGCTGGAATGCTGCCTGAAAATTAAAACACTAAACTGGTATGTGAATGTCTAAAGTAAAAAGACCTTCATTTTTGTATGTACCTCAAACCTTTCTAAACCGAAAGCTCACTGAGTAAAATATTTATTAGAGTAATAATCATGCGGTTGGCGCGAACGTAACTTACCTAAACAATTAGCAAGTTTCCTGGTCTGCGTCACACTGAGGATCTTCTTGACGATCAGTTTGTCAGCGGCCCAGCCGAAGAAGAAGTTGGTAAACCACATGACTAGAAACGGCAGAGCGGAGAGCAAACCGTTCTACGAAAATAAAAATAGTACGAAAGTTTTCTCGCATATATTGAGTTATAAACAAAAAGTTTATATGATAAACCTTGACGTTTTTTTTGGACGATCGCCATGCCATTAATTAAAAATTATTTTTCATTTAAAAATGTCTGTGGCGGTGGACTATCTACACTTGGCTACACCATATGATGTGATGCTAAAATCTTATTCAAATGCATTATGAAATATGCATATTACCGCTTTAATATTAACTCCCATGACTTTATCCATGAACGCGGGTACTTCTGAATACAGTGTAAGCTGGCCCCAAGTCTGACCTATGTGACCGATGACAATGGCCCACATGCCACGATCGGTCAGAATGCGTCGCCACGGGACCGTCTTCGGTTTCTGCAACGATATGGAAATAACTTATAGGCTTGTGCTTAGTGCCGAGTAAAATGTCTCATCTAACAAGGCGCACCGCACCACATAGTTAATAAAATTGTAAGTAGATGAAATTAAATAAACATACTGTGGATTCATCAGTAGGGCCAATATCACTTTCAATATACAGCTTCTCAGCAAGAGTTATTTTGGGATGTTTGGCCGGTGTGTCGGCTGTCATGAACCAAATGAGCGCGCCCACCAGCGCCGCCAGCACGCCGTAGAAGCGGAACACGCCGGGCCAGCCCAGAGGAGAGGAGGCGATGAAACCTGTCACTGGAAGACCTACCACCGGACCCAAGGCTTGACCTAATAAATGAAAAGGAAATTCGTAATTAAACAAACATTCACGAAGCAATGGTGGGCCAATGGTTAAGAGTCACAAAATCAATACAATAGAGGTATAATTTCTTGACTCCATATTAAAACTAACCTCCGTATGTCCAAGCACTCAGGCGACTTCTTTCTCTCAGCGGGGTCCATTTGCCAAGGAACGTATGCATGCCTGGTATAATACAAGCTTGACTTAAGCCTTGAGTGATTCTAAAGACTAACACCCATATCCATCCTCCCTGTAGACAATCGTAAAGAATCATATAAGTAGATTTTCATGTCGATTTTGATGATAGGCAAAGAAAAGAAGTATTGACTAAAGTGGAGAAAGAATTATGAGACTTGAGGAAGGGAAACAAGTTTCGTGATAAGAGTCGGAAGAACATACATAATAAGCGGCCCAGGGCAGGCAGAATGAGACGAGCGCGTTGGCGAAGAGCGCGGCGGCAAGCAGGCGGCGCGCGCCCAGGCGGTGCGCGAGCTGCCCAGCCGGTATCTGTAACACCATGTAGCCCCAGAAGAACGACGCCAGGATTGTGTCCTGTGTCTTTTTGTTCCATTTGAATTTCGGATACTGAAACATAAGAAGCCGCTGATAAACAAATATTCTAATTACCCTTATGAGATCAACGTAAATAAACCTGGCGTCGATAAAATAGTTAGCTTCAAAATAAGTAAAGGTTAGATAATTGTATTATAACAGAAAAGTTATTTTGGTGATGAACTAAATGATCATGTGTTGATTTTAAATTTTCTGTATTATAGAATTTTCTAAATTATCTGACAAATTGTCCACATCTAAGTATCAATGAAAATCTATTTTTAAACCATTTATAAACTCTCAATATACATTTTTATTTAGACAAGGTGTTAGCGACTATTTGATAAGTGTTAGAATTGTATGATAAAACATTGGTTGAGCGTCTTTCTGCTTCCGTAGATTAATACTGTATAAACACAAAAAAAACACTACGTCGAATATAGTTGAGGAAACAATTTTTTTTTAATTCGTAGAAATAAAATTGATGTAGTGAGTTTTTTCGTTGTGCAGGAGCCCGGTCATACCATTATCCAGTAGTAGTAAAACCCAAAAAGCTTTAGCAGTGTATTGGAGCTAAAATAAACTTAGATAACAAGAATTCATGCAATTGTTCACATTGGAATATCACATTCGCATTGCAACATGTGATGGATGTAACTAATTTGAAAAAGTACCGGACTAGTAAACAGCAGCGCACTCAAGACTCCATCAACTTTGTAGTCATCTTCGGCACTTGCAGTGACATTGCTGCTGGTAAGGTTTGTATGATGGTAGTTGAGTTGTACTTGAGTTGCGTCGCTCGTTGTCATGGCGACGAGGGAGACGCCCATGCAGGCGCGCATGCTGTACCCAGTCGCCAAGCAGAAGAACAAGATAAGGCATTGCTGGTGTCTGCATCCCCAGCCTAGAAATAATTTGTCTAGCATTGCTTTCACTTATTTTCAATCATCAATATAAATAATAATCATCAATAATATCAACACAAAGTATACGTAAGCTTAGGTTACGTTTTTAGTTTTTCTTACAAATCAAATATATAGTATAATATAGTATAGTATAATATATACATTTATACATTCCTGGATTAATTACTGTATGCTTTGAAAGCTAACTGATGAAGACGTAGTTGCCAAGAATTACATGGTTATGTAAGAATTATTCGTATTCTTAAAAGTGTTTCCCTACATCGTAGTAAAGTTAGATGCATTAATACTGATATTTTATTGTTATTTACTAAATTACTTCAATGTTACCTTTTAAATCACAATCTTCCTTATTAACGACTTTCTCAGCATCTTTCTTAGAAAACTTCATAGTTAAAATGTCAGCCTTCGCGTCGGCACTGCCTCGTCTCTTCACTTTGACGTTACATTGATTTCAATGAGAACTCACACAATTTATTTAAACTATCTACACTTATCATAAACAAATATTTTATTCACCACCTGTATGTGTGTACATTTGAGATTTTTAACACTAGTTGTAGACTTTTGTAAGATTACTTATTTAGCGTCAATTCGATTCTAAGAATTTCGGAGACACCTTGTCCAACATCAAATAATATGTCAATAATTAACACGACACAATACAAAACGCGTTTATATCCTTATCTAAAGTAACATATTATATATGAATACTGTTGGCACAACTTTACTTACATCTCTATGAAATAAGATAGTACTTGTCGTTGTATTTTACAAACTATGCTTGCATTTATAATATACCTAATGGCAGACATGCATCTTGCCATTACATATGTACAATAGGTAAATTATAAGTTGCAGTATATAAGTTTACATTTATACATACATATAGATTTTTTTCAAATATCTATGTCTGTAATTACTATAGCACAAGGAGACAGGAGGTGAGCTGATGAGGAAGTTGAAGGCCAAATAAAATGAGCACTCAGATTAGATTCTTTTATTAACGGAATTTCATGAACTTTAACATTTGGTTACTTCTATCTGTTTTGAATTATTTAGAGGATCTGAAAACATAAAACAGAATATGTTATATTTTGTACTGTTACTTCGATTTCTTTTTAATTTAAGATAAAAATATGAATAGCAACAATCAACATAAGATTTGTTTGCATTATTTGCAAGAAAGAAAGAAATGGAATATTTCTTTTTAAAAGCTTACCATCTTGTTTTTCTTCGACGTTATCGTTCCAGTGTTGAGTATCGGCGCTCATGAACATTACAAAGAACAAATTTGTAAAGAAAATCAATCCAACCATTATAAACATCAAAATCCTCCATTGATATACATTCGTCTGTAAGAAAATATAAAAGTCACTCAACACACTGTATAGACTTTAAACACTAATTACCATAATATTTTATTATGTTTCATGCAAGTTGACATTAACCACAGTATACTAGTGTATTATGAAAAAATAACTGACGACGTCAGTGACGAGCGCGGAGACGAGGAGCGGCATCAGGACGGTGAATACGTTTGTGAATGTGTTACCGATGGCCATCAGGCCGCCGCTGAAGTTTGGCGCCAAGTCCATGTAGTTCACCTGCAACATGTTGTATCAAATATAGACGTATAAACGGAAAAATCCCCGAACAGGCTGTTATAATGCAAGACACCGACCATCCAGCCGGTGTGCACGAGGCCCTGTGTGGCAAGCGACAGCACGAAGCAGCCGACAGCCAGCGGCACGCTGCCAGTGAAAGACACCGCCGCGGTCGCCGCCGCTGGCACTACCGACCCTGTACATACACTATGTGTTACATTCACACTACACTGCAAACAAGCACTCGACTGAAACTAATACACTAACTTGTAGGAGTTCAATATAAAGTCCATAAAGTCATTTTCTTTTTATTGAAAAATTGTTGATGTGTGTTTCAATTGATGTATAGAATCCTAATAGACTCACCTATTGAATTACAAATAATCCTGGCATTCTTAATGGAAAGGATATTTCTGTTGGTGAGGAAGTCTGAGAAGTATCCGCCCAGCACCGTTGAGAAGAACGAGGCGATGTACGGCAACGAGGACAGCAGCCCGCTCTGTAGGAGTATAATATAAAATATTAGCCTCCATTAGTCAATTTAAATATTTATCATCTGAAAAAGGTATGTGACATTGTCGAAGTTTCAGCAGGAAATTTCAAATGGTTCCTTTATTTAGCAAGATACGATCGCGAAGATGTTGAACATTTCCTTACCTTCAAAAAATATATGTACTTAATTATTATGTAAATCATATTGTATTCAGATCACATGGTAATGTGCAAATAAAAAGAAGAAAATTAAACAAAAATCTAATTTAAGCACACAAAATAAGATTTTTACTTATCTTACAAATATTCTTTTATTCAAAAGCAACATCTTCGCACTCACAAAATGTAATTATAATACTTATCAGCTCAAAGTTTTAGTAAAGCGAATACAGTATACCATTTTGTCCTAACAGCTTATTGTATCGTCAGATATTTAATAACATTTTCCATATAAGATAAAGAGCCGCTGTTTAACTAACACTTTTGATGTCGACCCTGAGCACGGCATGCATGTACGTGGGCACTTGTGTGAAGAAGAAGACGAACGTGACGCCGCTTCCCACGTGCGCCGCGAACGCAGCCCACGTATGGCGAGACGTCAGCACCGCTCGCCACGGCATTCGCGCCTTCTGAAAATTGTAATTTACAAATTGCAAAACGTGAGAAATTATTAACAACAGCATAAATACATGCGTACGATTTAATTTTTATGTTATAAATTTGTGATGCTATGAAGATGTACCAACAGCCCTCTTGACACCATCATCGATCCGTCCAAGAATGAAGTTCTTTTCGTCTTCGAAGAGTTCTTGTGGTCCGCGGGCGAGGCGGCTCCGAATACAGTGAGGAGTGCGAAGACAAGGAGACAGAGGGTGCCGGCCAGCCAGAAAGTGGCGGGCCAGCCCCAGCTGCTGGCGCCCAGCACGCCGCCCACCTGGAACGCCACCACGGTACCCAGCACGCTGCCTACACGCACATTTACATTAATATTGTTTTACGAACATGAACATTAATGATAAAATTTTAGCGTTTTCCAGCATAATTTTAGATCACATCTTCGTATTAGTGACTACGCTTGGCCGTTAAAATCACGCTTTTAAAAGATTAAACATTAGCTCTTGTTGGTGTTGTACCGGTGTAGACGTAACTGCTGAGGCTGCCGCGCTCGCTGAGCGGCACCCAGCGCGCCAGCAGCGAGTGCAGCGCGGGGTAGTATCCCGCCTGCGCGAGCCCCTGCGCCACGCGGCACCCTGCCAGCGCCCGCCAGCCCCCCTGCACACACCCCTCATCTAGAGCTGACACAATCGTCTGCTACGAGTTACTACATTTATTTGAATGTAACGTTTTGTAATAACTGATCTTCATTGTAAGTCACTACAAAAAAAATTATTTCTAAATTAATTTAAAAAAAAACACCTTGTTTTTTCGCTTACCAAGCTTAGCTTTGAGCTTATCTGCACGACTAACTTACAATTTACACAGTGAAATCGCTCTCAAACTAATTTAATAACAAAATTTTCAAAACAACATCCCTTTGTCAAACTTTTTCTGCCAAAGTTAGTTGAAAGTCAGCTTCTCGTCTATAAAAATATTATGAAAAAAAAAATTAATAATGTTCTTGTTTGTCTGTTGCTTAAATTAATTTTAAATTTCCTCCAAGCATTGAGGATCGAGATAGGATGGTGAGACATTGTCACAATATACCAAATATGTTAAAAACTCATTCTGAAATAACATATTCATTTTTTTTTTGTTATTTCAGGATCAACTAATATGAAAAGGTTAAGGATAATTTGACTCACCCACAGTGTCAGCCAAGGTGTGAATATGGACACAATACCGTTGACAAGCAGCGCCACCTGCAGGGGCAGCTTGCCGCCCCAGCGCTGGCAGACCAGCCCCGTGGGGAACATCATGGTGCCGTAACCCAGGAAGAACGCTCCCAGCACCATCTCTTGGGTCGACTTGGGCCAATCATATACCTGTACATACAATCAGTACACCTAATGCAAACTTTGTACACTTCCTCGGGAATTGACACTGACTATGTTTGTGAAAAGCATGACCGCTGATACATGCTGAACCAAATATTTGATTATGTTCTCGGAAGACTTTTTAGTACTAAGTTAAACTCTTTAAGCTTCGGTTTTATTTCCGATACCTCCAGAGATTCCAATAACAAGTGTTAAGGAAATGGCAATAATTTAATTATAATTGTAATTTTTCCCTTCGACTTTCACCACTTCGATTGTTTTTTAAGATTAAATTAAACTTACTACTTACTTTAACCATTGTCCCTTCATCTTGTGACAAATTGTACGATGCATTTTGTACAAGTGTTGTTGTATTGTCAAAACGTAAAGTACTATTAGCAATAGTTTCCAGTGCCTCACTGTGGCGGGCTTTCGTGCTGGTCATTGCTACGATGGTGACGCCGAGGTGCGCGCGCGCCATGTAGCCCACGCCCAGGCTCAGCACCATGAGCAGCGCCTGCACGTGTCGGTACCCATAGCCGTACTGCAACACTGCCTCTTGATGTACTGGAATATAGTTGTAGGGAATCTTCTGATATAGCAATAAAATTTAATAAACTACTCTGAAATATGTATTTCCAGCAAAAAAGAACGTTAGATTTGGAACAGACCTCGTGATTTATGCGCAGTGAATAATAGGCTATCAAGTCACAATATTTTGGCTGTTGGTAGAAACCATTTGCTATACTTTATCTCCACTTACCAGCCTTATCGTCAACTGGAACTTTCTTATAATCTTTCTCTGTCATGATTCTTAATACTTAATTATTAAATGTTATAATTTTTCACACGCTCAACGGAGCCATTACTAAAATGAAATTAGCTCCAGTACTTAATTATTAATTACATACGTAATATTTACGTAATAAGTAAACGTCTAAAATGTACAGTCTCGCAAAATAGCGTAAAAATGTTGTGTTTGATAAGTTTTATTCAAAATAGATTCTGTTTAAAAGTAAATGAAGTGGAATTAATGGTTGCTTTAACTACGAAATAAAGATTTATATAAACTTTAGGTGTAAAAATTATACAGACGTAAAGTTTCCGAGTCAAAGTAAATTTACAACATACAATAAGCTATGTTATCAATACTATCAAAATCAGTGTTTCAGGAGGCTCGCGAACATTTCTACCAATTTCATCGTAATTAGTAAAATAGCCCAAATCTGAAAGATTAATAGATTCTTATTGAAGTGTACCTCAAAATTGTGAACATTGCGGAATAGTTGAGAGCTCTCTTCGCTCGTGCTGATTACTTGAATTTAAAATTAATTGTGTAGGCGAGTGTACCACGATATCGTCTCAACAAACAATATTATCTCATTCACAAACACTACTATTTACAAGAATAATTCCTTCTTTGTTTTAATAGCATTAGTTACATATAATAAATATAACAACATTTCGAATAACATAACATAAGTACATATTAGATACGAGTAGGTACTTATATATTTCGTTTTGTTTTCATTACGTTAATAGTTTTGTAAGATAACAGCTTGTGCTCACTTCAGGTGCTACAGGTGGCTACAAGTGGTTAGAAAAAGATGTAATGATTGTTCTAATTTTTGTTTTTCAAAAATCAAAGATGCAGAAGCAGATGATCTGTTCAGTCGTTGTTACATTTTTACATTTTCCCCTGACGGCTGATATTATACATATATCTCACCTTACATCATAATATATTTCCTGACATCTTTCTGAATTAGTTGCAGTTAAATATTTGTGATATAAACGCGTAAACCTTTACATCCAGTGCTACGCATTTTTAGTATATCTGCATTGCAGAAGTAAAATGCCTGTGGCCGATAAATTCAACTACAGTTCTAGAGAGTAGTAGTAAAATTTACGTTTAGTTGGTGTCTGACGTCACATCCGTTTATATTCCGGTTTGGCTCTTCTATTGCATCCTACTGTCCAAAGAACTATACATTTATATTAGTAAGGTGCAATTTGATTCGTATTATATGGGATTATTGATTTTTTAAATCAATTACAAGTTATGAAGGTAATAGAAAAGTGTATCTCTTTGCTATCGGTTTGTCACTACAGTGAATTATAATTTCTTTTTTTATCTAATAAGCTTTAACAAAGTTTTTTGTTCTAATACCTAGTAGTGACATTATTTAAATACAAAGAAAAATTCAATAGGAAGTTATATCCAACAAATTATATTTATCGACTTTATCTTATAACAAACAAAATAAAGGGATTCCTGGAGATGTGGAGAAAAATGAAGAAAACCAAAAATATTAGCAAAATAACGACACAAACAAATCTATTTTTTACAACTTTATTTAAAATTCTTAATAATGTTTTGGATATGTTTCCTTTTGTGATGGTTATGCCTGCGAGCGTAACACACTGAGATTCCATTAATGACCTTGAGACAGCATCGTATAGTATCGTATCGCGGAGCAATCGACGGCACTCATTCGTTTTGTTCTATGTCGCTGTCCCTGTCAGTGTTGGCGGTGGCGGCAGTTTACTGTTCTTTATCAGATTTCTGTGATTCCTTTCTCTTCGCTAATATACTTTTCAGTTCCACCATTGCATCGTGTTCCCTTTTCTTGCCGTCTGAAAAATATATTTGAACTCAGTCTATTATTAATATTACAAAAAAAAATACGGCTTTTCCTATAGCCGGTTATTTTAAATTTCATTTTGTTTATATTTGTTGACTTCATCTTTGTGTTTGAAAATATAAAATAGTAACCTTCATCTTCTTCGCCGTAAAAGTTCCATTCCTGAACCGTACCCTTTGCGAAAATTACGAAAATTAGATTAGTGACGATTTGTAGCGCCGCGAACATCATAAACAGAATCTGCCATTTCTTTTGATTTGTCTGCAATAGAAATACATGTATAATATTTAATACACGAGTCTTCGTACTATTTATGGTCATACATATGTATGAATATAAGATTTTGGTTTACTATGGTTGTCCATTGGTTACTAAGAGTGAAATGAGACTACGAAAGTCGAGCTAACCACGTCGTCGCCGACGATGTTGGAGACGAGGACGGGTACTGCGAGTCCGGACAAGTTGGCGATCATATTACTCATCGCCATCATCGGACCCGCGAAGTTCGGCGCCAAGTCTATGTGGTTTATCTATGGAAATATGGACAAAAATATAATTTAACCCTTTCAAATATTGAATTGTATAGATAAAGTTGTAATTCGGATTATTTATTTTTAGTGTTTATGTTAAATGCATTAAAACAGTAATGTGTACTGACATGAAAGCCGACGTGAACGCCAGAGTGCAGACCGAGGCAAAGCACCATGGCGACGACGGCCAGCATCGTGTCCTCCACAAAGCTAAAGCCTACCAGAAACAGCCCTGATAGTGCCATTCCTGTAAACACGGAGTAAATTACAATATAGTACATCAGTGTACAATAGAATCTGAAGTAAAAATTATTTAAAGAATATACGTTTACGTACCAATTGAATTAGCCGTTCTTCTGATATTGACTATTGACATGAGCTTCTTGTTGGCGACGAGATCCGACACGTAGCCGAACAGCAGCGTCATGAGGTACATGGAGATGTACGGCAGCGAGGAGTACACGCCGTTCTGATCAATGTTACAAAAAAGTTAGCTTGAACCCTTCCTAAAGTTAGTCTGTGATATAATAAATAGTAACATTTTGACATTGTCTCACCCTCTTGATGTCGACGCCGAGGACCTTGTTCATGTACATAGGAATCTGCGTGAGGACGAGCAGATAGCCGACGGCACTGCCCGTGTGCGTCGCCACCAGCCCCCACACCGCTTTTGATGTCAGGATGTGCTTCCACGGCGTGCGCCGCTTCTGTATGAGACGTGCCTTTAGCTTTGCCTTTAGCTTATAGTCTTTTAAAATTTCTATGAATATTTCATAAAAAATAAAATTACACCATATTCGTATATGGAATAACTTTCAACTTTGTACTCGTAGAACTAACAGCTGCGGAGTTTAAACTCAAAACTTTTAGAAGATAAAATAAAATCAATTATTTTCTAACTTTATAGAGCAGACATGAATTATAATAGATGTAAACTGCTATCTAGACTTATAACAACATTCAATGTACCTTAACCCCGGAGTCTGCATTGCAATCTTTAGTAATGTATGCGAGCTCGTAGGCGGAGATGGAGGGGTGATCTGCGGGCGAGGCGGCACCAAGTTGGTGCCACAAAGCGCAGCACGCCAGGCTGGCCGCGCCGCAGCTCCAAAACGTCCACGGCCAGCCCAACGCTGCGCTGCCCGCGAACGCACCTGCCACCTGGAACGCCAGCACCGTGCCGAACTGCGAACCTACAGCCGACAACAACTACAGCATTCAAAGAAATCTAACAATCAAATCAAACTTGGACAATATCAAATTTACTTAAAGAATAATTACATTGGGCGTAGCCTTAGCTTGTTGTTAAAGTTCAATTTAATATTATGCAAAAAAAAAATAGCAAACGAGATAAATTCGAAGGACCGATTAATCCGAATTTAAATCAGAGCAATAATATTGAGGATAGAGAGAACTATTTGGCGGAGACGCTCCAGCCATCGCCGTCAGATTCCACCTTTTGTTTTGTTTGTTCTCGCATTGTTCAGGTAGCCGTCTAATCTTGGCATTGTTCTGCTTGTGTTCGTATTAAGTGAACTAAAGAGGACATTGTTTTGTTTTTCTTACATTTTCAGTTGTAAGTAGCCATTTATTCCTCGCAGTTGAAATGAGACTACATTATTTTAGATAACAATGTGTGCATTATTTTACTGCATGTGATGGTTGCAAACTTTTTTAATATAATTAATATCTACATCATTACATCTTACATTGTTCTGTCTATTCATATATAACATTTTTTCAACAATTGTAATATGGCTATTTTGACATCCCCCTTTTAAAACCCCTCATGTGCCCTAATGGCGTGAAGATCTATTTTCATCCTTCTCTACATTCTTCTTTTCACTTAACTTCTGACCAGGTACATAATATTAATAATATTATATAATATAATAGAAATATTATTCTACAAAAAATTCCAACTACTTACTTTGAATAAGTAAGTTTAAATACATAACATAAACAATATAAATAATACTTCGGAGAAAAGTAGTAAAAACCATAAACAAAATAATACATACCTAAACACACAAGCGCACATGCACAAACACACACTATCGCACACTATATATCTAGTATTTATATCTAAATAATAATAATCTATATTTAATTACATATATATTAGGAAACTATATATAACTTTAGGCAATAGATAAGAGAAGGTGCTGTCTCCTGAAACATAGTATTAACTAGTTCAGGAGACAGAGCCCACAATATTTTGTGAAAAATGTTTTATTTGCCCAATAAAGATTTTTTAATTTTTTTTAATCGATTTGATCGAAACGTACGAAGGTATTTAACAAATTATAGGAGACTATTTTACAAGTAAATAGCAGAGCGTCATTTGAGCACCGGAGAGGCATGTCGTTTGTTAAAAGAAGGAAATTAATTAAATTTTCTTCAGTAGAAAAAATTCCTTTTTCACATTTAACCAATTATGTTTTAAGAGTAAATTAAAATTTTAATTAACGCCAGGAAGTGGTAACGTCAGCGAAGCGGAATTTGACGCTGGATGGCGGCGTCAGGACTACAGTTCACACAACATTTAACCGATAATTAATCAAAAGCGGATTAAATTTAAATGTATGAATTTATGACATTTTTGTTTCACCTGCGGAATTAGGAAATTTTATCTGAACCAAAAAATATTTTCATTAAAATCGTACATTATGATCACACGCTTACAGCACTATAAGTGCAAGTCACAATTCCCGCACTTCCAAATTCAGCAGCGCCATTTTACCTGATTTTTTTTCACTGAAAACAAGGTTGAAGTACAAGTTTATTTGTTTTATCGCTGGTCGTATAATATACAGTCATAAAATCCAAGTGGTGCCATCTCTCTCTGTTGCTGGGAAACATTTTGCTACAAGAGATTTCTTTGCCGATGTAATTTAACAATAATTGTTAAATTGGATGAAAAATACGCTCCAATTACATATGTTATTACTTTTGAATATTTCTCAAGACATGCGTGTTATCTGATATCTCTCGCTCAAGTATAGCAAATAATTAAACTTTAAAGATCGTTACACCTACATTAAATTGCAATTATTTATTATTATACTATGAGCGAATAATAAATGAATTATTATAACTAAATAAAGCTCACGTTTTCGAAATACATTAGTGAGAGTCACACACGTACAAATAAAGTTGAAATGGCACACTGACGCTGAATGGTCGTAAACTAATTTGCAAGATTATCTTATACTTTGACTTGAATCTCCGCCGACCGTCAAAAGCTTTCTAATTTATAACGTTATGAGGTTTCAAGGGTCCTCAAAAGTTTCCGATTAGTTGAACCTTACTTACAATAAAGTTTCCATATTATTAGATACTGAGTTTACTCGAGATGTTACTTACCTAATAGTGAATGTTCAGAAAGAACATCTTCATTTAAATAGTATAGTAATGTATCATTCCCTGCATACGCGCGACAAATAAAAAATATCAAGAAACTTTTAACAGTTTTTATACAATCCTCATATCCGCATAAAGTACTGTGCTTTGATTGAAGTGAAAATGCGTAGGCTCCTCAACAAACACCGGCCCCTAACTTCCTTCCAGTTTACTGGTAATTGTCGCAAGTCCCTACTAAAAAGACAAACAGTGAGCACTTTGCGTCGGCTCTGTAACAATCCTCGAGCCTATAAATTTCGAGAGGTTCCAACACGAACTAGTAACTCGCTTTAGAGGGTGTAAAGGGAGTTTGCAAATTACAATTGTATGTTCGGTATTGAGGTCACGTGACACTTGCTGCGTGTCCTCATTAGTCTTATTTAGTTGTTAACGAGGGATTAAATATACTTGTAGAAGTGATAAGGATAAGGGACAAGAAAGTGCCTGCGTTCGCACTGCCGATATATTGAACTATGTTCAATTAAATTTTTTACGTCATCAACTAATATTTCTGCCTGTAACAAGAAGCTAGGTTGTTATAAAACGTAACTGACCTGTATAGATATAGGTGCTGAGGCGCCCCCTCTCTGAGAGCGGCGCCCACTTGCCGAGCAGCGTGTGCACGCTGGGGAAGAAAGCGGCCTGCGCCATGCCCTGCAGCAGCCGACCCGCGCATACCAACACCCAGCCTCCCTGCAACATCGCGCAATCACCACTAGTATCTGTTTCCAACGGTATTTCTACTGGAGAAATTAGTGGCTTTAGCTTTGTAAATAAGATGAATGAAACAATTAATAACGAGGATATTTGTACGTAACAAAGTATTACGCAAGCCAGTTTTTTAAGATTTTTATTAAGTTTTTTAAGATTGCTAAGTTCTGTATTCATATACAAACAAGAAGAGGCATCCAAGGCGTGAGTACGGAGAGCAGGCCGTTGACGAGCAGCGCGGCGCAGATGGGCAGCTTGCCGCCGAATTTCTGCGCGATCAGACCCATCGGCATCATCATACTCGTGTAGCCCACGAAGAAAGCGAACAAGATCATCTCCTGCTTCGGCTTCGACCATCTGTACGTCTGCAACGACACGCCGCCACTTATTGCAAGCCACATCTCTATTAATCTGTCCAGTAAACTCAATGAAACAAGTATATACCTAATATTCGTAATTGTGCATGGCGTGACGTCGTTTTCATCTCCATTTTTTATTACGTTTACTTGAGAAATTTATTCGCAACAAAATAGTTTTAAAATATAAAGAAAAGTAAGTATCTTAAAATGTTTATATAAAAGGTTAGCATCGTCGATCACTTACACGATATATATTCCACTGAGACTGTCCCTTCTCTATACAGTTCTCTACGTGACTCTCCTCTACAAACTCCGTGTTCAAAGTAGAACTAATGTCGGCTGAGCTTAAGTTAGTTAAGTTTAGTTTGTGTCCAACATTGGCACAGGTGGCGTTGCGAGCGCCGGGTGCCGTCATGGCCACCAGGGTGACGCTGAGATGAGCGCGCATCGAGAACCCAATGGAGAGGCTGATAAAGAGCAGCAGAGCCTGCAGGTGCCGCACGCCGAAACCAGGCGGTGCTTTGATTTCCGGCGGCTCTAGAAAGTAATGATAATAATTGCTTATCATCCTTGAGCTTTCATAACAATGAAAGCTCAAGGATGACAAGCAATTATTAGCGCGGAGTTCTCCGAGGAGAAGTTGACAGACCTTCATGTTTCTCTGCGAGGGGCACGCTCGTGTAATCAGCCTTCTCTGCCGACATACCGCACTCTTGTGACATACTATGTGAACGATTCGCATGATGGTCTGATACCGCAGCAAGGGTTGATAACCAGTGTAAATATTTGGAGAATGATTTGTTACATATAATTTAGCGCCGAGTAGATTTGCTTATCTTAATGATTTAGTCCATTAACAATAATTAAATTATTGTGAATGAAAAATATTTTGGTTGTCGACATCTATAGAATAGGACAGGAGTCGTATACTCTGCAATAACATATTTTGTACGAATGGGCCGGCTCGACCGGTGCAATACCACGACCACACATCAGACTGGCGTGAAGTGGAAGTAAGTATGGTAAATATTCTCTGTCTGTGTGTCACCTCTCTATCGATTTAAGGTACTAACTCAAATGGCCGCTTGCTCGTTTAAAAAAGGAAGTACTGTTAATTGAAAAAAAAAAACGAAAACTTTAAGACACTGGTAGATAACTACTAGCTACTACTACTTTACTCGCTCCACTTTTGGGCACGCTCCCGATTCTTACCCTCGAGTCCCGCATAGATTTCGATGTTGTCGTAAATGAAATACCCATCCGCAACAACAATATCAATTATCTAAATATCTTAATTTGCAGTTCCTTGATAATGGTTTAAACAAATATAAACAAACTTACAGACAAGATATAAACTATTTTATAATTAACTTTAATTATGAAATGAGTAAAACAAGATATGAAAATAACATTATTTCATATTTTACCACAATTCAAAGTTTCTACTTTAATTATTTCAAAAAATATATACGAAGAAGTCTATAATTAAAGTTTTCTAATTGCGACAGAAAATACGAGTAGGTATATACTAACAGCATTGTATGGCGATCTGTTGAGTGAACAATAACTAAACTATTTACTATTTTGCCGTAATTTTGACCCAATAGTTCCCAATTATATTCTCTCAAACTTACTTTTAGTTTGTTTTTTTTTTAATATTACGGCTTCGTGACCGGCCAATATGTAATCTTTTATATTGATATCTTTCACTTTTCCTGGTTTCATTTAAAATGTAATATCAATTTCAAAAGACATTTACTTAAACTGTATAAATAGAGTGGCGTATCACAAAGTAATTCTTAAAAAAATAGGTACATTTATTTGATGATTATATTTGTAGTCAACTGGCAAATCATCTTATCTACATTTTGAGACTATTACGTCAGTGGAAATTTCCGCACGGTGTGGCGGTGCGGCGGTGCGGCGGTGCGGCGGTGCGGCGGTGCGGCGGTGTGGCGGTGTGGTTCAACGTTGTAGAGCAAGGCATTGTGTCATAGCGTATGTAAGGAAACTGTGGACTCTTAACATATACGCAGAAGATTTCCTCACCCTGTCCTTCGTCCTATCCTTATGTCCGGAGTAGTATTTTTGTTATTTAAGGGTCCCTTCACACAGACATATTTATTTTTTATAGATTCAGGTTTTTATTTTGTTAATAACATGAGGTAACTTAGTACAGAGATAGTATACATATATATCCACCTTTTTAACTTAATTGACTCATTATGAAAGAAGACTATTATTTTTTTCTAATTGTTTATTATTATAATGTGTTTCCTTAAGTAGTAAAAACTATAACAATATCGACGAAGTTCAAAACATTAGTAAAAACGAGTACGAATATATTTAGGTCAGGAAATAGTTTCGCTCGGTGTTGCCGCCATCGGCTTCTTCGGGTACATATCCAGCAGTTCCAATTGACTAGCATCTGTCAAGAAGGAAATGGTACATTGACAAAATTAAATATCGATTGATTTTTTTATGTTATAATGTTATTATGTTATATAAGTGAGGTGACAAATGATCAAGCGGCCACTTGAATTCGCCGAAATAGCGAAGCCACCGCTGTCCGTAGACATACGCAATTGTAGGTGCATTGACTACCTTTAATAGATATAGGAAGAGACACACTTCATATCCACATCCTCCTTCGTCAAATCCACTTCTCGTACCCATCCTTTCCTTATAAATAAGGGTGAGAAAGGAAAGTGAACTAAAATTTGGCTTCCGACACGCGCACTCGTCTGATGAAACGCGGAATTTCTTCCTCTTTACGACAGTCTTCTGTGTGGTTACTTGGTTACCTGATTATACCCTCAATAAAGGATGAAATGGTCGATGTTTCAACTACATTTGGATACATGCTCATAGTATTCTGCTTCTAAAACCCATTAAATGAAATGATGAAAGAGCAACAATTAACTTTTAAATAAGAGAATCATTAACATATATAAAATATAAGCAAACAGACCCTCGGGACTGAGGCCAGTGTTGTGATAGGCGAAGTCTCGACCCCCGGTGCGGTCCCACAGCGCAAACCCTGCGCCCCCCGCCGCGCCCCCCGCCGTGCTGCATACTCCGTACAAACCCGCCATACAACAGAACACCACACGCCATGCGTCCGTTTCATTCTGGAATCACCAATATATGTAGTTAAACTACAGTACATCACATAACAAGAAGATTAGTTACGTTGCTGACTTACCTGGTGATTTCGGAGAATTATTCCAGTGACCAGGGGCACTGCTGCGCCCAGGACACTGGCAAAGGCACTCGTTATTGCGATCAGCATACCGCGATAATTCTCACTTAAATCTCGAACATTTTCCTGGAAATATTAAGAACGGTTCATTTTTGAAACACGTGTCCATAGAAGAAGATGTTTTTGAATTCTGTTTTAGCTCGCCTAGATTTTCTCTTGTAATTTTTTACTGCAAAATACACATTTTAGCTGAAACAAACACAATAAGCGGAATTACCTTTAATTTTCTCGGGAATCCATAAACAAAATCAAAAAAATATCGACATACTGAAATATACACGAACAGCGCAAAAGTCAATAAGTGTGTCAATAAGCAAATATATATTATATAATATGTAGTAGGTTTTGTCGGATATACAACAACGAAAATCAACAAGGTTAATATTCTGACTCACAATAAAGCCGGAATACTGGAAAGCGAGTAATCCCAGCGTAACAGTTAATACGCAAAGTCTTAAATAACTCCATTGCTCCGGCATGTTAGGTGACATCGCTAATCCCGCCACGATCGGTACACTTCCTGAAATGCGGTTATATTAATTATTCACTTCTCATTTAAACGTATTTCCCTTTTAGTGGCCGTTATATAATAAACGTCACAGTAAAAACGCACGCGAAACTATAAATGTCTTCATGTCTTTCTTGTTTAATTGTGAAAACCCTGAAAACTGTTATATTGGAAAAAACATTTTCTCACCAAGTGCCGAATCAGGTCGGCGAACCATGTTACAAAATCACAATGTCGGCTCGGGTTATTATTAATCAATTTCGTTGACATCAATATCTGAGGAATTTTATAATTAACACTCCGTAGCTCCGGGGCTCCGATACCTCGGCCGCAAACGCCGATGCTGGCGAGCTGCTTGCACGTGGCCTCGGTATTGCTTTATTAAATAAATTCTTTGTCACAAAAATGTGACCTGTTGTCTCTTCTTTGGTAAGAGGATGAAAAAAGTCAAAATGTCTCATAAAGAGAATTTATTCACCCTTCCAGTAAATTTTTTACTCACCGGAACTGAATTTGGAAAGGTATTTTTAAACGGACAACCTTTACTAACCAAGCACATTGACCACGATCTTTGTATATGTAACATTGAACAGGTGAGCCATCAAATTAGACTTCAACAAGCAACGTAATGTCGGGGCAGTGGTCGCGAACAGCGTTAGTAAACATATGAACGGCATCATTGCTTGCACTCCACACTGGAAATAAAAATAGTTGAAAATTACATACTTATCATTGAACACTGTAAATACACTGCAGATATACATACATACAGTACCTGTTGCAGCGAGAGTCCTGTTGACTTGAGGTACAGCGGTACGTCCACTAAGTAGAAGACGAACAGAGCGTTGTTGGCGGCGTGAGCGAGCGCCAGCCCCGCCACGCGCCGGCAGCGCAGCATGCTGCGCCATGGCACACGCTGCATCTTCTGCGAACGTACTACATGTTACAAATTTACTACTAATAAGTATCAACAACCTATCGTTAAGTTTACTACAAACCTATTATATATAAAGGGTAGTTAACTTTTTAGTAATAACTAAATGGTATATAGTTAACTGATATTACATTAAATTATCTGATATGATTTATCTAGAGCTGCATCGCACGAAACTGACTTTTCGGTATCCCGCTGAGGCCTCCTTTATGTACTCCCTCTCGGCGTCGGGGCAGGCGTGGTGCTGCTCGGGCGAAGCGGCCGTGAGCAGCGCCCACAGTACGGCCAGTGACAGCGCCAGTGTGGCCTGCGCGTAGGCGATCAACTCCCAGCCTAGCCTTGACCCGCTCAGCCATCCCGACGCCGGCAGGGCCACTATCATGCCTACATAACTACCTAAAATGTACGCTTTTCATCAAATATCACCTATTATATCCATCAATTGATAAATAATTTATTGAACTTTAACAATTTTTTTTTCAAAGCGAACTAGTATATCTTGAAATAATTTACAAACCCAATCAGAATATAAATTCAATGTCGATTACCTGTATCTATAATACAGGCAGCAGTCTGTCTCTCTATAGGCGGGAGCCAGTTATCGAGCAGGGCGCGGTTGACGGGGGCTATGCAGGGCTGCGTCATGCCCATCAGAAAGTAAGCGTTGCACAGCGCCGTCCAGCTGCCCTGCAACATGCAAAATACAAACAACCACAAAATAATAAAAAAGTAAGTATTTATAGTTGATTGTGATAACAAGCGGGACATCTTCTTGTCAACTCTTTATATTGATTAGTCGCTTGAAACTAATACTTAATAACACATTATTAACTAATAATATTTTAATCAAAATTAAACATCCGGTAAACGTGTAGCTTCTATAACAGCATGTGACGTCATCAATCGTCTCAGCAAGAAACTCTCCTTCTTAGCCACAAGAACTGAGAATAAGTCATTAGACAAGAAAAACAAATTATTTCCCTGTATGTCGCGCCTTATGATTTATCCCTATGGTTTTAGGTTGATATAGTAATTAACCTAACCAAGATACGAAATGAAGATTTTGTTAATAAAACGTTTTTGTCTTTAGGGAGCAACAACAAGGGTTACTGAATGCTGATTTTACCTTGTTAACAATGGTAGGCATAAGAGCGGTTAGGCTCCCATTGATAAGGAGCACAGCGGTGATAACGAACTTGTCCCCGAGACGCGGCAGATACAGCTCGGCAGGCAGCAGAGCCAGCGCGTACCCGCTAAAGAACGCCCACAGCGCCGCGCCCCGCTCACCCTCGCCCCCCGCCGTCATCTACATACACATTTGTAATACTTACAAATATTACATTCAATAATATTAACTAGGTCTTCTAGGTCAAGCATCCCAAACAATTTGATTTAATTAAATAATAATGTACTTGAACGTAGGAATCGTTTCGTCGCGAGGTGTCGGTGAGGGCGAGCAGCGCGACGCCGGCGCTGGCCCGTAGTGCGCCCAGCGCCGCCGCGCACAACAACATGTAGGTTACCTGCACGTGTCGCACGCCCACTCGCCACTCTGCATGAAAACCATTTGTTTTTGAATTAAGTATCGATTACAACCACCGAAGATTTATACAGTATGATTTTTCATCATCCACATTAATATTCCTTCCCGAGAGACAAAACCTAAGCGGAAAATTCACGGAATATGTCTACTAAATTTATTGAAGAATGTAATGCGTTTCGGCATCCTGGACTAAATAGATACATTTGGAGACAGAAGCATTTATATCGTTGGACAGAAACACCTGACCTTCGACACAGAAAGCCCTTGAAATAATCAACCAAAAAACATTATTTCACGAACAGATAATAAATATATTGTTAATGTATTACGATAAGGTAACACAGAACAAAGCTTTGCCTTAACTATTAGCAATAAATTAGAGGCGTAGCGTTACGTAGAGAGGTTGCTAGTTACTGGTAGTTAGGGCCTCGTCCGATGTCCGGCTGCGATAACGCCTTTGTGCAAAACAAAGGCGATGCCACTGCCTCGCAAAAACATGACTGCTACCAGAACAAACAAGGTGACAACAGTTTCAATCCAAACTTAGTATTTTTATTTTCATTTCTCCATAATCTACATATATATAGCGATAGTTATCGCCAATTATTAATCGTGGTTTAGGTTAATTGGAACCTTTGCGGGATCAATGGGAATCTTCTTCTTTCTTTCTTTGTTGTATACTTCTTTGAAATTGAATTCTTATCACTTACTCGTTTTAGTTATAACTCCATTGTAGCCATCTCGAAATTTGTATTTCAAAAACTCCACGTCCATGCTTTGTTTGGATTACAACGCAACACAACACAACAATCACAGTCTGCTTCTCAGGCGCAATATCGCTATTTTCATAATAAAAAGTAAATGACTGTCGCCGTCATTTCACTGAACGTTATCATCAGTTATCGTCGAGACAGTCGTTTTACAATTATGTTATCCTAATGTACATTTGTTATATTTGCAAAGTCAACCTTCTCATCAAAATACGTGACGTTTGTTGAGACATTATCTAAGGCCTTGCTGTTGTTGTCAACAACATTACACCTTGTCAATGTTCTCATTTACAAAACTTTATTGTTGCAGACAGTACCTGTGGAAAAGTTAAAGAATTTCAAATAGCTGAAAATGCTATTTGCTAATTTATTTTTAGCTCTTCATTGAGTTTATGTTTTTTACTTTGGAATGTTTTTACTGTAAACTGTACAGTAACTTCTTCAACACATCTTCATGGTCCAGTAAACTAAATGAAAAGTAACTCTATAAAGTTGTCTATTATAGAGTCTGCTGTTCTTATTTTGATATTTTCGAATGTTTGCTATTTTTATCATTATTTTACCAAACCTCCGCTCTAGTTTGATTGGCACTTTATTTGAGTTCTTCCAGTACATAGCTGCAGGAAGAACGCTCTAATATAACAAAATCATTTTGCAAATGACACCAACAATTACTTATAAAAATTTATTTGAACATCCATAATATGCAAGCCTAGTATACATTATACTAAGTTTAAATCACTAGATATAATCATATTAATCGCTAGGATTCACAGGCATAAAGGACACGCAATTTCTTGTAGTCGAGGTCGTGGTTTACTTTTCCGCTGTATCTGTTATTGAAGTATCTGGCTGCAGTAGGTCGTCGTTCCTTCGTGAATGTCCGATGTCTTTTGCACGCTTTTGGTAAAGCAGTGTCAGTGGTTCTTGGCCTCTTCTGCTTTTAGTATCGCAGAACTTGTTAAAGCTGGCGTTACCTCCTCTGTGAAAAATATAATATAATATTAGTGGAACTTTAGTAAGCAACAATTTCATTAATGAGATACTTTGTGTACATGTGAAAATACCTGGGTCAGCAGACTTCTTATCTTCAAAGTCGGGGTCGTCCCACGGCTGGCACTTTGCCGACGCGAATATCATATACATAATATTGGTGACAATTAACAGACATGATATTATAAGAAAACATATGCGCCACCGGCTTAAATCCGTCTGGAAGAAAACAGATAAAGTATTTATGTTAGACGAATTATTATGGAAAATTTATTGACAAATGTAAAATATTCACTCGGAGCGCTATGTATGGATGGATCAGTATCAAAAGTATTTACTCTCTGCAAAACATGCTGTGTAAAATATACACAAGTCTACGTAGGTGATGTTTAATTATTACCTGAGAAATTGCATAATTAGTACTTACGGGGTCGTTGTTTAAGATAAAGCTGGTAAGCAGTGGGGTGCCCACGCTGCCGAAGTTTGCGATAAAGTTGGTCAGAGAGAGCATCACGCCCGCGAAGTTCGGCGACATGTCCAGGTGGCTCATCTAATCATACAATGTGCATTAACTTACTTTACATGAGATGACATTTAAACAATACACTTGTACTAGTAAAATCCAATAGATTACCATAAACCCAGCAGCGCTGAAACCATAGAGCGTGAGAGTAGCCACCAGCACTGCGATAGCCATGTTCTCGTGCTCCTTGCCGATGAAGGACAGTCCCGCCAGACCGAAGGCCATGCCGAAGCAGGCTAAGAAGATTATAATACCGTAATATTAGTAACATAGTACTTAATAAGTAATATTGTACTAGGTACTGAAGCGGGAAGAGTTCTTTTTTTTATATCATAAGGTGGCACCTGAAATCGCTGAAGTAGCGAAATGACCGTTGCCCACAGACACACGCAACTGCATATGCGTTGCCTACTTTTAATCCACGGAGGAGAGAATGCACAGAATGAAAATATTTTCCCTTCCCATGCATCCTCTCATCCGGAAAGTCCACTTCCACTTCCCATCCCTTCCTTATAAAAAAAGGGTGGTAAGGGGAAAAGGACTAAATTAGGCCTCCGGGACGCACATTCATCAGACGACACGCGGAATTACTTCCACTTCACGCCTGTCTTCTGTGTGGTCGTGGTATTTCACCGGGCGAGCCGGGCCGATTCGTGCGAAGATGTGAAAGCGGGCTCTACCACTGTTAAACACATTATGATGTGTACCCTGACTACTGTTCTACTCTATCATCTTTGTTTTTTACTCTGGACTTTATCCTAACAGATGCTTTAGTTTTCACCGTTTATTGATTTAGCGTTAGCAATCACGGACTCACCGACAGAATTGAAGAGTTTTCTGCAGGTACCAACGGAGAGCAGGCCACGGTTAAATATCTTCTCCGACACGGATGCGGACACGATGTTGCCCAGCCACATGCCCGCGTAGGGCAGCGCCGATAGCGAAGCGCTCTAACAAATAAATAAAGAACAAGAACTGAATTTAATTGGAAATAAACATTCTTGGCGATGGTATTATAAAATTAACGTTTCGAAACAAAGGCAGTCGGACCGCCTTCATTCGATCAAGATAACAATTCCACGTTTAGAACACTTATCTCTCCTGGTTCCTCTACATTTCAGACATTTTTATCATTTTCTCATGAGTCATCTTGGTATGCTAATTTTGTCGTCGGCGTTTATTAAAGCTTGATTTATATTGCCAGTGCTACTTTTTTTATAAGCATAAATAACTTTGGAAAATGTTGAAAGAGTTTCAGTTTGAGAAATGTTGAGAAGAGAAGAGAAATGGGAGGCGGAGGCGGAGGCGGAGGCGGAGGCGGAGGCGGAGGCGGAGGCGGAGGGGGAGGCGGAGGCGGTACATATACTTACATTCTTTAACGATATGTGCAATCCTTTCTCCAAATATGTGGGCATGTCGACAAAGAATAGGACGTAGCTGCAGGAGAAGCCGATGTGCGTGATGGCGATGGCCCAGAGACCGCGCGAGCGCAGGATGTGGCGCCAAGGCGTGCGCAGTACCTGCACACACACTCAAGGTTATTAACATGAATAATTAATTACCAAGCTATAAGACAATTACTTGTAGAAAACATATACGATCTTAGGAATTATGATAATAGTTATATTTAGTATCCTACAAGTGTACATCGATGTGTTAATAAAGAAGAAACGAATTAGTTGAACAAAAAACATGACGAGTTTGTTTAGATAGAGAGATGGAGAGTCAGTAAACGTTTTCTCGTCCCATACATTTTGGAGCATTTCTGTATAAACTTATAAATTTCAGGAAATAATTGATTGTTAAATAAATATCATAACTGCTCCGGAAAGTAGATGAATTAACAGTTATTTTTTTTTCGTCAATTCTATATATGTATTATAGGTACTATTAAAGATCACAAAGCGAGAGGAGTAGTGATCCGTAACTTTCCGCCTAGCAAATTGGAAAATAGAGATGTAACGCCGGCGAGCGGAGGCCGCTCGAAGCCGCACAGAGCGCAGCCGCGAGTCGTCCCCGACCGAAGTGCATTCTGTTTTCAATTAAGAGCGGTTTGCAGCCAGCCCTCGCCGCCGCCTTCCGAGCAATTTATGTTCGATGCAATTCCAATTGTATAACTGTACCAATATTTGAACTGTATGCGACATTGTAAATCTTCTCTGTGTTTGTATATTATTTAGTAATAACAGTTAGATGTTGACTTTACACTGCATACCTTTCCCCCGGACGTGTGCAGCCCCCGCTCTATGTACTGCCGCTCCAACTCCGTCATGAAGCGGTGCTCACCGGGCGTGCTGGCCGAGAAGAAGTACCACACGGCGGCCGACGTAAACATCAGTCCCGATATCGAGTAAAATATCAGCTTCCAACCGATGGCTGTCTCTGCCAGCAGACCCGACAGCGGCATCGCTATGATTGTTCCCAGTTGCGTGCCTGGAAAATAAAATACTGTGATCTCATATAATGCTTAATAGAGATTATAGAACAATATGGTGAACCCTTTCTAGGATTATTATCGATTGCCGCGAGCCTTATAAGAATAATTATGATCATTATTGGCCTCCTCGGCAGCCGGAGCTGGGGCCGTCCTATGTACGTGCCCAATCACAGGGCCAAAGTGATGGCTTGCAACTAACAAGGAATCAGCACTTTGATGATTTTACATGTAATAATGATAATAAAGAAAGTGTCACGTACCGCCGTAGATGATGCCGGCGAGTGTGGTGCGCTCTTGCGCAGGCAGCCAGCGGCCGAGCAGCGTGTGCGACGCGGGGAACAAGCATGCCTGCGTCAGACCCATCAGCACGCGACACGCGCACACCACCGGCCATCCGCCCTACCCGGCGCCGACGATTAATTATTTACACTTTTCACCAGCTGGTAGTTCAATATTTACTTCAAGTAGCTTTGGCATTTACAAGGTTTTAACGCCGAATCGTCAACTTCTCGTCAACCATGCACAACACCGCCGCGAGATAGCCGCAGCGAGCATTCTACGCCGATTCGACGATGCCAATGGAGGATAAAGATATTAGTTTTTAAAACGTTATGTCATTATGGCTTGCACGAGTAGCCGGCGCGCGGTCCACAAGTGAACGCGGCGGTCGGGTTGAAGCCTAGTGGACACCGTGTCGACACCTCGCGGAATACGACACTTTCCATCCTTGCAAGCGATAATTAGGTATCGTAATTTTGTTGACAAGGAGTAATGTCGCTAAATAGGTTTTACCCATATTTTATGTGCTAGGTCAATTTAATTAAGGAAAGTACACATACGATGTAGGAGAGCACGGGCAGCAAACCGCAGATGAGGCCATTGGCAAGCAGTGCCACCAACAGCACGGGCTTGCCGCCGTAGCGCTTGGCCAGCAGCCCCGCCGGGATCTGCATCAATGTGTATCCCCAAAAGAACGACGACAGGATCAGCCCCTGTATGTTCTTGTCCCAATCGTATATCTATAAATTATGAAATTATTTAGTTTTCGTAAATTTTATCGCGAATTTAGTCGTATACTCGTACCTTCGCCACAAAACGTGTTGTTTTTTATAAGACATTTATTAAAACTTGTGTTGATAGTTGTGATTACGTAGCAGGAAATTGTTCCAATGCAGTAACACACTCTAAGTAATTATCTCGAAGCCACGACTACACAATTCACAATTCACAAACCCCGCAATAAGCCATTACACTTAAACTATTAGTGTATATGGGTATACTAACATACTTTATTTTAGGGATGCAACGTAATTGTCTTTATCATTTATTTATATGATGAGATGTCACATGATTCCTGGAGATAGTCATGAGCGTGACGAGTGTGACGTAAGTCTTGAATTCAAAACGAATATTTACAGAAAGTAATGTGTTGAGTCACTGTTGTACTTTTAGTATAATGATTGGTTTGTTGGCCTATCTCACAGTCACATAGCAATGTATTTACTAGAAAAAACACTTTCAGTAGTTATTGAAATCGAAATGCACATCGTGAGAAAATACTTTCAGGAAGATTAAATGTAATAAATGTTATTAATATAATATGAACCTGAGTGTAAGTTAAAGATAGCACCGAGTTACCGTGATGTCGGTGCTGTTGAGGCGCGAGCGGTCTGTCATGGCGAGCACGGCGACGGCCATGCTGCCTCGCGCTATGAACAGCGAGATCATGCACAGGCACATGCACACGCTCTGCAGGTGCCGCACGCCGAACCCATAGCCTGCAAACAAACAAACAAACAATCTTACATCCTTCAATATCTTCATTACTGTCCAATCTAATCCTGAAGCTTTCGTCCGTTAAAAAGGAATATGCACTTAGTTATTTACCTACACTGCTAAAACTTATTAAAATGCAGAGTTTGCAAAACTCAAGTTAATAAGTCAAAGTGACGCCAATATTTCTAAATAGAAATTAAGACAGATAGAAATCAAAAATATATTTATTATATTTACTATAGTTTATTTGTTAATTATTTTCCCAGACCTAGGACCAGGGATCTCTAATAGAACTATTGGGGCTACTGATATGAAAAGTAGAATCATTTGCGTCTGATGGTGTGTGTGTGTGTGTGTGTGTGTGTGTGTGTGTAGCGCGGTAGAGAGCGATAGTATTGCAGACGCTGCGTCTCCGTCGAGCTTATGTTATCATTAAAGGTGTGCTATCGAGGGGCCTGTCCCGTGCAACCTCTGCTAGAATTCGTGACAGGGGCGTCGCCTGTCCACGTCATTTGACAATGTGATGAAATGTCACGTGCAGCCGTAATCTAGTGGCGCATTATATTAACTTGTCAGCGGCTTGTCTCTATAGAGTCTAGTTAATCTGCCAAACGATGTCTATGTCTTATGGTCAAACGATGGAACTGGTATTTTAGCTCCCTATTATATTGCTCTTTCTTAATAATCAACATTAGTGGTAATGCTATTTTCGTTACGTGACTTGTATTTTTTACGCCTACTCTTTTTATACTGACTTTAAAACACGAATTGATACATAAGAAGAAATTTTTACGTAGACAATTCTGCGGCCCAGTGATGAAACCGATACACATAAGTAAAGCAATTAATTATTATTCACGCCGATGCTAACGTGCCGGATGATATCAACGACGATAGAGTTCGTGACGGACCGTCTACCCAAAATATATCGAGGAATATTAAACGACACCTGAAAACAATAAGCTAACTAGACAAAGATGCATAGAAACTTGACAAATTAGTAAATTATGTTAAGGCATAATATCTTATTATTCCATGCTTCTAACGACGAGCAATACAGCCTCTGCATGTGCAGTTCTTCATGAACAGGAATGTTACCTGGCAGCGCGACCCCGCACATACTGAACTACGTAAATGACTACAACAATAGTAATGAGAGATGAAGTTGATTGACAAAGTACTTATAGTATCGTCGCAATAGACTTGTACTATACATTTATATATATGTAGTTACAATGAGTTCTATGGAAAGGTCTTACACCAAGTACATCAGAATCATCACATAACAAAACAATAACGTTATACTTTACATCTGTTGCCGAGGCGTTCGGAGATCGTCCCGAGCTTTCCTTTGCAATTATTTTCGGTAACCATTTTTGGTATCCATACAGTTCGACCTCACACTACAGAAACGCCTTAGGGAATAATATAATTATTGTAGTTCACTGCAAAAGTAGCATTCCATGAGTAAATAAATAAATACGGCAATAAAAAAATCAACCTAAAAGCAGCGTTATTTTAAGGAGATTAAAGTAGACAATGCTGAAACCTTTTTCATATTTCATTGACGTAACAATATGTCAAGCCGAGTAATGCCGAGTGATCCACAAGTAAACAAGTGATTTTATATAAAGATAAATTTGTGTTTAATAGTGTTTGCTTTGAAACTAATTTTAGATTTGAGTCTACGTATGGATTTGCTAATGTTTGCATATTTATTCTAAGATTTTTTCATAGTTGAAGTACTAACGTTTGAAAATAAATTTTTTTATTTAACTTCCATCGAAGAATTAATTTTTCATTATTCTGATTATAACAAACAAGTAGGGTAAAGTTGACAATCATTGCCATTGACAACTGCGACATAAACATAACAACACCTTTATATACTTTGACAGAATATGAACATTGACAGGCTTAAGAAGATTATGAAATGGAACATAATAAAAAAAAACAAATAAAAGCAACTGACTCTACCCAATCCAAATACCTTGAGAGAATGCACATTAAGTTGCATCCTATACATCTGTCGTCAATTGGTCAATGCTACACGAAGTATTTGCGTACATAAGTAGCAGTAATAAGAATTTCGACGATCGACCCTTATTCTTTCCAAGTCAAAGTAATAGTTAACTGTTCATTTTAGTCCGACTGGCAGGAGAGTAACAATTTTGAGCTACATTCAGCCTGCTGTCGGTCTGCTAATACTGACAGGCTGTATAATCATTGTAACCAACAACAATTGTGTGCTTGTTAAAGATAGCCCCAACACCATACTAAGAGGCATTAGCGACAAGCCTGACTGCCCGATAGTGCGACACTGGGTGCGTGCACACGTCGTATATTTACCGACGTAATATTTGTTTTTCTAATAACTAATTGTAATATTTTTCCAATATGTGTTACCTACTTTTACATGAAATAAATAAATAAATAAATAAATAAAGTAAGGGGACAGAAATGAACCGAGCGCGAGTCGCTTCTCCTACGATTAGTAGCGTTCGGTCGATTTCCCGGGACTATGGAGTGCGATTCAGTGATTGGTGAAGGTGTCCGGGAAGTGTTCAACTATGGCCGACTTTTGAAGAAAGAAGGCAGTCTGCCTTACCACCTCCATCGACCTAATTACTTTCTCACTCTCTCTTACGCAAGTGTCCAAAACCACTGCATTTCTAAATCTGGATATAATAGGACTGATTCAAATTCAATAATTTAAAAGTGGTAGAGCCCGCTTTAACATCTTCTCACGAATTTGCCCGGCTCGCCCGTTGAAATACCACGACCACACAGAAGACAGGCGTCAAGTGGAAGCAATTCCGCGTTTCGTCTGAGTTTGCGTCCCGGAGCCCTAATTTAGTCCTCTTTCCCTTCCCACCCTTTTGCTTATAAGGAAAGGATGGGAAGTGGAAGTGGACTTTTCGGATGAGAGGAAGCATGGAAAGAGAAGATATTTTCTTTCTGTGCATCCTCTCCTCCGTCGATTTAAGCTAGGCAACGCATATGCAATTGCGTATGTCTATGGGCAACGGTCACTTCTCTATTTCGCCGATTTCAGGTGGCCGCTAGCTCGTTTGCCACCTTTTAATATAAAAAAGTGGGAATATATGAATATACTTAAATGTACAAATATGGTGTGGGTGAGAGGTGTTCCAGGACCGCACCAGATAAAAGCCCCTTTAAAAAAAATCCCAGCCCCTGTAAAAGTTTACCCCTCTGCTTTTTTAATAAACATAATTCTTAAAAGCACTGAGGATATCTTATACATGTCTGTGAATAGATGAAGGGAAGAAAATGGCTTCAGAAATTCAGGACGACTTAGTTAGGGAGCTTCAGTAAAACTTTTTGTACATTATACGTTAAACTATGCGTCTACCGAGACATTCGTATTGTACATATGTAATATATATATTGTTGTCCTTGTCTTGTCAAAGTGAGCAAACGCGACGACTACATATGTCAGGGTTCTGAATTTCTTTGGTAAATATTTTATAAATTCAATGGCAATACGCCTGATGATATTCTTTTTCATCTTTAACTTTGTTATGATAAGCCAGAAATTATTATATAATATATTGTATTTGCCGAAACACGCAAATTTTCCGAAGAGGCTGTCATAAATGGAATTTTCCATTCGTTGTAGAGATTACAGAATACATTACATTACGTTACTTTTTATCTCAAAAGCGACAACAAACAAATTGTGAATGTTTGCGTGCGCTGCGCCGCCCAGACAGCCAACAGAGAGCCTGTCACCACTGCGGCCGACACCACTGCGCCGTACAGCCGGTGACGGCCGCTGCACACGGCGCGGCGACTGAGCACCAGATACATCGCCGTCACGTGGGCGTTACACTGTACCATGAAGTTTAAGAAGCAAGTCATGACATTTAAGGATAATATTTTAAGTCGCATTCGTATGAAATACGCCCAGGTGATAAATAGTATTTAACATGTTATTGTGAGAACGACAATGTGTCCTATAAATCAACAGGATAAAGCTGGAATATGGCCGGAGGCAGAAACAATCGGTGCTCGTAAATCTTCCAAGTTGTAGTACTCTAACAGCAAACATATTCCCATATTGAACTGTTCAATGCATTATGGATTCCAATGACAGGATTATATCGAGGTTTATATTGAGTGCATATAGCATAGTCCGTATGTCAGTACAACACAAAGATACATCGCCAATGCGACAATAAACAGTTACGTTATAAACAAGTCAGCTCCTGTTCTCACTTTGTTACAATAAAACCAAACAGCTCGGCAGTGTCCCGCCCTAGCTTCCGCCCTAGTGCGCCGGAATTTCTACACCACACAAACAACAGTTGCGACATTTTTATATAGGTGAAATTAAGAATTTACAGAGCGCGCTTACTGTTTACGTATCTAATAACAGAAATTTCATATATATAAAAATATATCCATTTCGTTGCAATCTGTGACAGAAAAAATATACAAGACCGAATCCTCGGCCTCGATTCAAATTGATTATGACGTCTTTGTTATTATTATAACAATTCAATAATAATAATAATAAAAAAATAATTTAGTTACTTTATTCATACGTTATTTTATATGTAGTTTGAAGATAGGTGATAAGGGGAAATAGGACTTAACAAATTGCGATTCTTGCAGCCTCTGTGACGCAGCGAAACTATTCTCATTGTAATAAGAACAGCGCCATCATTTATAGTTCTCTGTCGAGTTCCCGCTGGAAGAGATGGAAATCCCGCTCGAGCGCTTCGTTGTGACAAAAAGTAATAAAAACTGTATCGAAGAAAGTTAGAAATGTTCAGGAATAATTAACAAAACGCTAAATCGAATCAAATTCAACAAAACGCGTTAGGAACGCGCCGGCGACGCGACTGTCACGCCATTTGAAGGAAGCATTTAGGTTCTCGTGGTATGTATGTATGTATGTATGTATGTATGTATGTATGTATGTATGTATGTATGTATAGTATTGTCAATTACCAATCCACTAGTTGGAAATAAAATGATGAAATCTCAAAAAAACATATTTTCCGTTACGTGTTATGTTTTTACTTTGTTTTATGAAAACAAATCTCTTACAGCTATAATCACGTCTGTTAGAACTTTAAACAAGTTAGTTCAGCAACAAGATGATAGCTAAAGAAAAAAGAACTTTCGTATTCACGAAGAAATGTGTGTGTATGTTTTGTTACAAGATATCCCGCGTCCCGCACTTCGGACAGATGCACACAAACATGGTCGTTAATAATTTCCATTTGATGGAACCTGAAACTCGTTCTAACATAAACGTACGTCGCTTTTCTGTTACCTACAACTACATACAATATGGTCTATTGTGTATTACCTTGACATACGCTTATTTTAGTTACTTCATTTAGCCGATTTTAAAATGAATTTTAAAATGTACTATACAAATTAAGAATAAAATATGTTGTCGTTAAGATTGGCATAATGTTTTATCTTATAAAATGGGGCAGACGATAGCATCCTACGATCTCATAGACATCCGTAATAGCGGATGTTTCGCTGCCTACCTTTAAACGAGTGGTGAGGTGGATGCACAGAAAGAGGATGTTTTCCCTTTCCATAATGTTGCAAAATAATCACACATACAATAGACTAAATGAACTTCTAACCCAAATGTGTCTGCATAGTGATTATTTTTTATCTTGAGTTGAACATTTGAAATCCACGCCACCTATGATTCGTTGCTTACACCACGCTGACAACCTTTACAGCATTTTGTTGTAATTTTCACGAATTTTGAAAAGCAGGCAAATACTCGATAGATGTCTCGCAGTACGATATTTTTTTTTACAATATGACTTCGGGCCGTTTGTACTGGCTGCATATAGATTGATAGATGATATTTTATATTATGTTATTAAAATAGAACTTGATATGGAAATAAATATTTATTTATTTATAATACATAATGTGAGGTATTTATGCGGGAAGCAGGTGGCCGTCGTCAGTGTGGTCGTGCACGGGCAGAGCTCGCGCGCGGTCCCGTGTACACGCCGCGCGCAGCGTGACGCGCGTGCAACACCACCGCCCCGCCGCGCCCACCGCGCGCACGCACACCGCGCCCAATGCCTCCGCCCCAGGCCCCAACCCCGACCCCACCGCGCCCTGCCTGCGCAGACGCATATATTAACAAAGAACCGGTGTTACAAAAGTTAAGTTTTCTTTTATAATCTTTACTGTAAAACTGAATTTTCCAATTTTGTGGTGTCAAATGTCGTTGAGGGGACATTACCTGGCCGCGTACTGCACGTAGACGCGTGCGTTGCCGTGCGGAGCCACCGATAGGCGCGCCGGCCACGCCTCGAATTGTGCGCCCTCGCACTGCACCACCGCCTCCAGGGCACACACCGCTGCACATGACACACCATATCACAGCTCACGTTGTTAAATAAAAAACATGCCGATATATGCATAGCTCAGTCTTACTGCTGGTGTGAGAGACGGTGAAGTACGTCTTCCTGCAGTCGTCATGCGCTACGAAGCCAAAGTCGTAGTGCGAGGGCAGCGCACGTAGCGCCGGCACCTCCACGGCGGCGCACAGTGACACCCGCTGATACACAAAACACACGACACACAACACACAGATACTCCACTCCGCAAACGCAGCGATCACACACGGCTTCATATCTTATAATAGAAAGGACACATACCGCCAGCAAAACTTCATCAGCATCGTAGAACTTAACTTCAGTGTCAGCTCTCACGCTGCCGGCGTACTGCTCCTCCGTCCCCGGCCCCGGCCCTGCGCCGACTTTCGCATCGTCTTCCACGCTCTCCCCTTCTACGTCTCCCTCCTCCGGCCACACCGCCGCTGTTTGCAGCGCCAACTCACAGCACAGCTGTATACATAACTACATATAATATATGAATCTCTTTGTTATGAAGTTAAATATTTTTATTCGATTCCAAACGAATAACCCGAAAGTTCCAATTATTCGCATACCTCTTGTGTTCTCCTTTTTTATATCAAAAGGTGGCAAAAAGAGCGAGCGGCCACCTGAAATCTCTGAAATAGCGAAGTGACCGTTGCATATAGACATCCGCAATTGCAAATGCATTGCCTACCTTTAACCGACGGAGGAGGGGATACACATAAAGAAAATATTTTTATCCCCTCACCTGGAAAGTCAACTTTCACTTCCAATCCTTTCCATATAAGAAAAAGGGTGGGAAGAGAAAGAGGATTAACATTAGGCCTCCGGCACGCACACTCATCAGACTGCACACGGAATTGTTTCCACTTGACGCCTGTCTTCTGTGTGGTCGTGTTATTTCACCTGGCGAGCCGGGCCAATTCTTGCGAAGATGATAAAGGGGACTCTACCACTGTTAAAAATTTGCTTGTTCAGGTTAACACATAAAATTAAAACCTCACTTGGACCGATGTCCGCGGTGGCAGGTCTAACAGCAAGCACTGAGATCCCTCCCCGCAGCCCACCGTGCATGCATCCTCAGTCTCCTGCCTCACGATCACGCTCCAGGGGGACTCGGTGACCGCCCTTAGCGCCAGCGCTGCCTCGCCTACGTTCAGGGCTTGCAAGTACTTGCGAACTCTGCAACGTCAACAACGTCATTTCCGACCTGCTCGGCGAGCACTGCACGGGTGCGGGACTCGCCGAGCAGGTCTGAAATGACGTGCGTGGGTGTGGGAGGGGTTCATGTGACCTGGTGACGCCGCCGGGGGGCAGGCGCAGCGCACTCAGCTGCGCACGCAGGCAGTCACGCGACAGCTGCAGGCGCCCGCGTCCCTCCAGGTGTAGCCGCGCTACCTGCGGCGGGGGGTCGGGCCGGTACCAGCCCTCTCTGATGACCAAAATATTTAAAAATACTAGATGTGCCGTCGTATTTGGCCAAGGCCAAGTGTGAGTGTCGGATTATGAAAAATTATCATGAGTGGCATGTTACGGGTACCCGCAGCGCTGCAGCGGCTGACTGAGCAGCAGCAGCGTGGCTGAGGTGCGGGTGTCAGAGTACGCGGGCGACGCACACACGCGCACGGTGGGCGAGGCGCGCCCCCCGCTCGGGATGTCGAACTCTCGCGGCTCCACCTGCATGTTGTGTGAGTTTAGCTAAAACAACTTTTACTTCTTACAAAAAAGAAAGTAGCTATGTCAATAACACATTTAATAATTCAAATTTGAATTCGAATCTAGAATCCCTCCCTTGGGCTCTGTGTTAAACGAATACATATAATAGACTACGCAAATTACCTCAAAAATGGTATCAACTTGCAGTCCGTAATCGTCTGATATGATTAACTCAATTCCTGTTGCTATGTAGTCTTCAGACAGGTCTTGACACGAGGAGTCTTTTTCAAAAGTCACTAAGAAGCAAGACGATTTGACGAAGAGTTAGTATAATAACGATGACAATAAACGAAACAAGTGGTAAAATAAAACAATACAATACGGTCGTTAACTTTTCTTCTCTTCTCTTTAATTTCTTATCAATTATTTTCCCTTTTATTTTGGTTAGTACACTATACTGCTTGGTGAATATCATAAAAGAGAAGGCCAGCTAGAGAGTCGCAACTCTCAGGAATAAGGAGGAGGCAAGTTTTACAAATGAAGTTGATATAAAATGCTAAATGTTTATCGATCATACTTAGTACGTCGTTTTAAATGTGACCACTGTATTGTTCGTGCCTCCTCCTCGTCCGCTGGCCGACCGTTTCATTTCTGCTGTGGAGGAACGTTAGAAATTGTTAATGGCAATTACTGATGTATCCCTCGCGGTCCGGCAGCGGTATCTCCTCTCGCTGCACGTCGTAGAAGCGCAAATACACGCGCAGAGGAAGCGCGTCTCGGGCGCACTCTGCGACACAATACAAATAATTCTTTGAGCTTAATTTAAACATAATTGACAGCAACACAGCTCGAGCAATGACATTGCGGGACCGTGGTCTTTGAGCAGCAGCGTGCGCACGCGCAGGTCGCAGTGCGCGATGTTAGCCAGCGCCAGCCGCCGCACCGGGTCCGACCGCGACATCCTGATACACACAATAACAACATTTCTTCATCTAAACATTATTCTCATTTTTTGGATTTTGTTTTTTTCCCTTTAGAACATGCATTCGAAAAATTTAATGCACAAACTCTTCGATGAGTAGGTTTAAAGACCCATTACTTTTTAGCCAACAATGGTCGCCACTATATGATAGGCATCAAAAGGAAACTAATGAAGTCGATTAAGAAAAGAACTCGACTCAAGATTAATCATGAAGATGACAATCAGAATTATAACCACAAGACGGGCGGCTCAGCGGGGCGTCCGCGCGGTCGTAGCGCGAACTCCAGCGGCGCGCCCACCGCCTGCACCCACACGTCCACCACCACAGGTTCCATCCGCTCCGTCTGGTGCAACATTGTTTCTGTGCTGACTACAGAGGAAACGCCCTCTGCACCGGCTACAGACCCGCCGCCTGCAGCAACCGCACCCGGGGCAGTGCAACTGCTGGAGGCGGCGGCGCAGCACCATCGGTTGCAGTAGCTCGAGAGACACCTGTAGGAGCAGCTGGTCGTGGTACAGGCCCCAGGTGTGCGCGCGCACGCCCAACGCGAACCGCACCGCGCTGCCCGCAGCCAGCAACCCGCCTGCGGGCGCGCACTGCACGCGCACGCCCGCCGCTTCCGCTTCCTCTACACACTGCCCTGCGATTGCCAACCTCCGCGTTTAACTCGACACACAGTGTTATTACAGTCTAAAATCGACACGAAATGTGTGCTGAAACAAAGCTCGGCATTTAGAAGACAGTAAGTTGTGGCGTACCGTGGACCAGCGAGGGCGCACCCGTGTACGCCCAGCGTCGGACGTGCGCGCTCCAGCGCAGCGGCACTCCGCCCGAGTTGTGCAGCGCCATCTGACGCCATTCCACTGCGCACACACGTCACATTTCTTTTAAGGATCTACTCGTCGTCTAACAGATTCTAGGATTATTATCTATTTCTATTATACAATTCTAGGAAGACCAGCAGCAGTTATTATATAGTAGGTATGGCGATAGTAAGCAGAGAGTCAATAATACGAGAAGGTCCTCGTGAACGTGAACATGAAGGGAAGATGCAGGTCGGTATAACTGTTTTGGTTATATTTTGTTTTTCTTTCGTCATCTGGCACATTTTATAATTTCATATGAACAGACCAGTGCCGACCGACACGCTCTTGAACTGCAGACAGGGCGGGGCGAGGTGTGGCGCGGCGAGGGGCGCGTGGCAGGCGCACGGCCGGCCGCCGCTGCGTCCGCCGCTACTGCCGCCGCCGCCGCCTTCCGCTGTATCCGCCGCTGCTGCAACACACAACATAGCGATGTGCCGGGCGTTTATGCCGGGCGGGCGTGCAAACAAAAATGAACCAATTATTCCTGGAACTTGTATATTACTAAGATATTCTTTTTAGCTGGATGAACTGGAATAATGTGAACCGGGTTTAAGACACATTTGTTTGAAAGTGCAATTTTTAAGACAATTGAATCCTCGGTGGTGAACGTACCGTGTTGATGTCCCCTCTCCGCGCCGGAGCGTATCGGTCAGGTGGAAATTAAAAAATATAATTATTTACCATTCATTTTTATACGAATTTGTTCGAAATCAGTAAATATCTCCTCCGGTGAGAGCGGGGTCGCGAAGTCACAGCCCCACGGTGTGACGCCGCGCTGACGATCAAATAGAACATCAACATTAGCGAGGTAATTTAGTATTAGGACTTTTTATATCTAAAGGTGGCAAACGAGCGAACGGTCACCTAAAATCGCTGAAATAGCGAAGCGACCGTTGCCCATAAACATAGGCAATTGCATATGCGTTGCCTAGCTTTAATCGACGGCGGAGTGGACGCACAGAAATAAAATATATTCCCTTGCCATGCATCCCATGGAAAGTCCACTTCCACTCATTCTTGTCTTATGACAAAAAGGGAGGAAAGAGAAATAGGACTAAAATTATTCCCCACTTGGGACCAGACTTCTCCTGTCGTATGTATGTATGTACATACCATCACTGTTATCTCAGACAGATAAAGAGCACACCACGTTTTCGTGAATTCGGTTTGCTTACTTCACTCGTAGTGACGGTCGCCAGTGAATCGCCATCATCGCCAGTAGGGATGTCGACACTAACTTTTCGTCCCTGAAAAAGACTTAAGATTGCTTGTTTGTTATCACAATAATATTAAAGACCCCCATGTACGACTCCATACTACCCGCCGCTCGCGGATTCGCTCGTGTGGAAATTTATTCCATAAAGTCTCTTTATCAAGGAGGAGTTACCTCCTTACAAACATCGATTCTTTCATATATCTTCTTTAACATATCGATTAAGATGAACTTACGTCGACGGCGGTGTCGAGCAGCAGATATAGTGGCGTGGCTGAGTGGCGCACGGCCGCGCGGTACGCCCGCACGCGTCGCCCGCACGCCGCCGCCGCGCTCAGCTTCACCTGCAACCATGCCCGGCACCGGTCAGCCCGCACATTGGCACATACCTCTCACCTTCCACCTCGCCACACCTTCATACATACATCTAGTTCGTGTGAACAGTGCATACAATCGTAGAAAGTCAACATCTTGCTCCCCCCCCCCTCCTGCCCACTGCCCGCCGCCGACTGCTACACATTAAAATTTAACTCTGACAAAACGCTAAGTACAGTGACAAAGTTGAATGCAAACCTGAATCAAGACCGTGGCAAAGGCATCGATCTCGCTCTCCACGGGAGAAAACGTCACCTTCAGTACGTCATTACATTCTGAAAATGAATGAATGAGGATTTAGAGGACAAATATGGACTTACACGTAGACTTGGACAAAAACACAAAAAATATATGAAAAGGAGCGTTTCTTAATTTAAAATATAACCACCCCTCCCCGTTTAATAGCTTTCTCTCATTAGTCATGAAAGCATAACTACTGAACAATCGCAAACGGCTTATTCATACAATGTTGGTGTCGTACGTTTGTCCGTTTCCCAGCACAGCGCGGTGGCCACCGGCGTCAGGTTCACGCAGCGCACCAGGTGCGTCTGGCACCCGCCCGCTCGCAGCGCGCCGCGCGGCCTCAGCACCGCGCAGCGCCCCACCTCGCCCGCCACCCCGTCCGTCGCCGGGCACTCCTCGCCTGCACAGGTCGACATTATACTCCCGCTTCTCGGTCCTACTGAAGCAGGCAACAGTTGTACCGACACTGGCAGGGATGCGAGCAGCCGCAGCGCAGCGCGCGCAGCACCAGTCGCGGCCGCAGCGCGCGATGCGCCAGCAGGGCGGAGCGCGCCGGCTCGCCGCGCCCGCTGCCCGCCTGTCCCGCCCGTAGCTGGGCGATGTTCAGTACGCTGCCTTCCACCTGATGTAAGTGTACAAATGTGGGATAGGTAAATCTCAGTAGACTTCTTTTATAATTCAATTTATTGCAGAACGTAACATTTTCAAACGTAGACATAGAATAGGCGGAGGGTTGCCGTGTAATCTAAATATAATAATAACTGACAGCAGGTGCGCGGCAGCGGTAGGTGACCGTCTCACTCTGAGCGTGCGGCAGGTCGCCGGCTGCGGGGGCCAACGCGCCGCACGCGCAGCAGCTGCTGGCGCACACGGCGCACAGCTCGCCCGCGCCCCCCGCCGCCCCCACCACCTCCTGCTCGCCCACCAGGCATCGCGCGCCCCCCCGGGGGCACCACCACGGGTAAATGTTCACACGCCAAGTTATCTACAATATTTACCACATATTATCAAAATGAAAATAGCGTTTTACCACGATCCTACCATACATGTTGTGATGTTGCCGAAGGATGACAGACGCTAGATTAGTAAGTGCCTATTCTCTACGGTCTCGATGGCCGTGTTCGTTATAATTAATTAGTTGTAATAGCTCTCTAAACAAATCTTTCCTAGAAATAAACTAATGGTATTTGCTGTTAATCTATACCATGCTCTGAGTGTTGTTGCAGACGGTGAGCGCGGCGGCGAGCGGCGCGGCGGGTGGCGCGGCGCCCAGCCGGCGGCAGGCGGGCAGCAGCGCGGGGCGCGGCAAGGCGCAACGGGACCTCACCACGCACCACGCGCGCCACTCGCCCTCCGACGCCTCCAACCTGACCGCGTTAAACGATGTCGTAACACAGACTCACGTGAGCTAGCGCGTTCCAATTCTTCTTTCCTTTAATTTCAAAATAACCAACTGGAAGATATTGGTGATGGCCTCGTGATGCGCGGCGGCTAGCGGCACCTTCAGGCGGTGGCGCACGGAGCGGCCGGCCTGCAAGGGCGCGAGCGGCGGCAGCGTCTGCACGTCGCCGCGCCACTCCGCGCGCGCCGCGCCGCCCGCGTGCAGCTGCGTCACTTCCACCTGCAGCTCCACCGAGCTCACCCTGAACATTCGTGTTCACATTTGGTTGTCTTTCGTATGCACACATGTCCATGCATTCACCCGCTCATGTCGAACCTTCTGGTGTGTGTGAGGTGGAGCACGGGCGGGTGCAGCACGTAGCGCATCGGCACCACCTCCCACCACACCTCCAGCTGCGTCACCAGCACCTCGCACACCTCCCGCGACCACGCCTGCCACCTCACAAATGTTTAACGTATCTATTGCTGAACACGCCAACAGGACGCACCAACAGTACATAATATTGCAACGGGATGGCGTCGCTTGAGTCAGATGAAAGCGCCTGTCTGCAAACAGTAATGTCTTTCGACGACAATGAAGCTTAACCCGAAGGGAATTGTTGTCATTCACTAATTTATGTAACTAATTAGTTCGTCATTCATCATCAGTCATTTTTCAGACTATTATGTGACATCTGGACGATTCAAACCTAGCGTTCTCTTAATCTTAATAGGAGCTTGCATATATTTTATTACAATGGCCGGAAATATAATGTCAGAATAAGCTTTAGGTTGTAGGGTTAAGTCAATCTATACATACTGTAAACAATTTAAAATAAATGTTACCTCGCAAAGTCCAGGAATTTCCTCTTCCTCGACTGTTTTGGTGCTAAGTATGATGTCGTCATATTCAGGACCCAAACTCTCCCGAGGGATATCTGTCAAAATAAGCCTAAAACATATGAGATTATAGCAATCATATATTAAACACATGGTAGTAATAATTGTGTACGTGTGCACGGTACAGACATGAGCACGAGGCGGTGCAGGCCGCAGTCAGCGCCGGCGCGCGGCGCGCACACGTGCACGGCGAGCGAGCTACGAGCGCCCGCCGCGCCCCGCACCGGCTCCACACGGATCGCGCTCACGGACTCCGTGTGCAGGGACGTCAGCTCGCTCTGCACACAAACACTGCTCCTTGCAAGTCCCACACTTAAAGGGGTGCCCCTTCGGGCTGATCATTCTCGTTCTCTCGCCAAGACTCACAATTCTCAAATATTTCTGATAAAAACTGTTGTTAAATTAAGAATATGTCATTACCCACCCTTATTTTTCTAAACAATTCATTTTATCTTCCAATTTTCATAAAATAACTGTAGGAATAAAATTTTCATAACGTTCCTTTTCTTACAAAATGTTGGCCTTGGATTCTAACGAGACATAAGTAATTTCAATAAAACTATAACGAGTGCCTGTGCCCGTTTTCTACCTACATACTGTACATCTACCTGTACATACTGTTTAATATCGAGCCACCGAGTTACCTCAATGACTTCAGAGAAAACTTCAGAGTGCTGTTTCTCTGCGGATAGCAATATCTTGTCCCAGGGCCGAACACTCCAGTAGTAAGAGTACGGCACAGCACTGCGGCAAGTTTACCACATAGATATTAGCAAAAATACATGATTAGTTCTCCTTTTATCTGTCTTGTGGTTTATTTAATTAGGAATTATATCAGTAAAGGAGACGTAGAAAAACGCTAGATCAAAGAAAAATTAATGAAGGAGCGGGCGCAAGGAGCCACCTGTGGTTGAGCAGATGCACGGTGGCGGCCAGCGGGCGCTCGGGGAAGGCGCTGCCGAGGTGCACGTGGTAGGGGCACACAGGGTCCCCCTCCAGCAGTATATCGTACTCCTTCTCCGGAGTCTGTGTTCATTGCATTCACTTCAGTTTTTATACGATATTCTACTTGGTTAAGGGTTGTATTGCTTATTTTATTGATTTCTCAATCTTAAAGAGTTTAATATTACTATTATTACTATTAGTGACTTTCATGAAATGTTTAGGGGCGATATTATAGGTATTAACATTTCATACTCGAAGCGTGATGTGGTCGGTGCTAAACATGATGGAGTCGGCAACAATGGTGAGCGGGCGCACCACAGCCGTAGAGCTGAGCAGACGCAGCGCAGCCGAGCGCAGTCCCGGCGTCGGTGCGCGGTGCGCCACTAGCCCGTGCCTTGCTCCGCCCTCCCAGTACACCGGTCCTACGCTGAACGCACCCGCCACCACGAAGCCCGTCCGTATCGCTTCCTCCTGGAAATGTTACCTTTACATTTATACAATTTTTTAACCGAAAGGATCGCCGTAAAGTAATGTTGAACGAACGTCGAGCGTGAAGGCGCACCAGGCGTCCTCGGTCATGACGTAGAAGGCGGCGTGGTGCGCGGCGCAGGCCAGACGCAGCGGCACGCGGTGCGGCGTGCCCGCCAGCTGCGCGCCCAGATCCAGCACAGGGCTGCGCGCCGGCGGCGCCCCGTGCTCGCCCAATCTGCCCCACACCCCGCCCCCGTCCGGCCGCGGTACTATAACTGTACATCCACTGATTTAAAATGTTTAATAATAACATTCGTTACAATATAATGTTATAAATAAATAAATAATAGAGTATATATCGTTTTTTTCCTAGTCTTTAGGTCTTTAGGTTTTCTGTAAGTGCTATGATTGAGTGAAATAATGATTGTGATGCAGTGAGGTCCGACCGTCGAGCAGGGGCGGGTCCAGGTAGCAGAGCACGAGGAGGAGGGCGGGCGCGCCGCGGGACACCCGTACCAACACCTCGTCGCGGAAAGCGCGCACGTCTCTGTCGGTGTAGAGTAGGCTGCATGCTCACATCTCATTGTTACAACTCAACTAAAGTGCATTACTTTCCAAACTATTATATTTCCTCATCCATATAATCGAAACTTCTAAAACAGTTTTCATATATTTATCAATAGCGAACATTTTTTGCAAAGGAAACTTTCCACTACTAAAATATATTTTGTGAAGTTGAATATGCGATATTGAAATGTAGCAATTCGGTATTAACTGGCGGTTCGGTTTTAAATGAACAATGCTACTAATACTTAGGTAATATGATAAACTGAGCTAACCTGGGCTTGAAATGCACTCGCAGGTCCAGCGCCGCGCCCGAGGAGAGTGAAAGTCCGCGGGCGAGCCCCGCCGGCAGCGCAAGCCGCAGGGCGGGGCGCGCGGGCGGCCGCAGGGCCAGCCGCACCGCGTGTCGCGACGTGTTCACCACGCGCACGCTTTGCTGCCCACACAAAATATAACAGCTTCATGATTTACGTAATGACAACACTGTTGTTTGAGCATTTTCATTTTTATCACAAATCAGAAAAATAGGTAGGAAAATGAGAATATAATTGCTTATTATTAAAATACCTAGCAATCTAATGAATGGGGAATTAAGAAATGACGGCAGTCATTATAAGGTGTGGTGAGACTGAGTCTGCAAATCCAGCCAGGATTTGTACATGCTATGGTCATCAATGCGAAATCAGTAACTTCGAATACAAAATTCCTTGTCACTGTTACCGCACATGAACTTCACCATGATGACACACGCAGAAGAGATTACAAAATGATTACCACATGATCGTGTCCCACTGTAAAGTTCACAAAGTAGAGTGTTGCGGGCTCGCAGACGACGCAACAGGGCGGCGGACGCGGGGCGCGCTGGGGGCGCGGGGGCCGCGGCGCTGCCGGCCGGGGGCCCGCCGTCTCCTCGCAACTGCACACACACAAATGCTTGGCTCTCGTCAAACACGCGCTCTGAACAAGCATGAGATTTAACAAATTTTTTTGAGCCAGTGCAAAGTGGTTATCACTTTAAACGGAATTTTAGCATCAATGTACATAAATATATACAAATTATTTATCGATTGCTACAAAATGTGGTAAATTTTTGACCAAAGTTACTGACAAAATATCATGAGATACCTTACGGATTCGATTGAAAAATCTTTGGGAGACAAGACGACATCGTCAGGTAAATTTAAATCTTCGGACTGATTAGCAGTGGCGCTAGTGTCGCTCGAAGTCTTCCTCAATAGCCAACGACATCGCAGTTCTAGAATTAACTTCTAAAATTCAAAGCTGCTTGCTAGATAAACGTATAGAAGCTGGGAATTGAGGTCTAGCAAATGTTCTAATGAGCAAAGTTTCATAGGATTAAAAAAGGGAACATAGGCATTAATTACTAAAAACATTTTTTTAATATACTAAAACTAACGGTCAGAATTTTCTAAAATTGTCGGCATCAAATCTTGTCTCCGTATGATCCCTAAGTTAGCATCTCCTTGTGCCTGTGCACAGTAGGACAGCTCGTAGCTCGCGGAGCGCGCCCTGTGCCCCAGCTGTTTGCCGTACTCTTTTCTCAATTTATCCTCATTATTTCGTATTTCTGCTATTTCTAATGATTTTTCTGGTAACTGAAAGCAAAACATTTTTGTTGAATTCCTTGTTTACACAGATACTTGCATTTTCTACTTGTGTGGTGTGTGAACAATGCGAATAGAGCCGTATGGAATTGGTCTAAGCCGAATAAGTGTGTATACTCGCCCTAGACCATTTATAATTTAAATCGTTTCATACGAAACCAATAATTGTGAAATCACACGAGTTAACAGTTATGAGTGTTACAAAAGATCGCTGCGGACCTGTTGGAGGATTTGCACTTTAGTGTCCTCATCATTCGCGGTCCGGTGTCGTGCGGCGTCGAGTGTCAGTGGTGGCGGTGGTGGCGGTGGTGGCGGAGGCGGCGGAGGCGGCGGAGCGCGGAACACTTCCGCCAGCAGCGGGCGCACGTCGCCGCACGCCTTCCTGTAGCATGTGCTGTCTCAGATGTCACACTAGTTCGTGTGCCGTGCCTTGTACGAGTTAACATCAACGTCTCTCTCACACACCTACACTACATCTTACTATGCAACAAAAGTACTGCAAAAGCAGTTACATTAACATTTACCTAAAGATGGATAATGTTCTTTCTTGGGAAAACTGACCACCTAGTTTACACGCGGCCAACCTTTAGTCAAATATTAAACACCTTACAACCGCTATGAAGACGTAACGAAATAAACTTGATATATGAATGTCGACGAATAACTTACGTTTTTTTGGGAAGTAATGGCGGCTTGTGAGACATTTTTAATGTAATGCAGTACCTGCATGTATAACATGTGATCAACAAACTGTACAACTGTCACTATCTGCCCGTTGTGACATGTGTCATGAACGCGACACAAACCATAAACACGTTACGAAACGGTTACATGTTAAGTTTTTGGTATATTTCATTTCTTACTTCCATGGAATCATTATTTTTTGTCGACTCATCAAGCTTTTGCAGCAAAATGAGATAAGATTTTGTGTTTGTTCGCGAGGCCCACCTTCCCTAACTTTACTTCGTATTTCCCCTGTCTTTGTGTAACGTGTCATTAAATTTTGTAACGCAGCAATAAGCTCTGCTGAGCATTGAATTAAACGTCTCTCTTAATCTTTTCATCTCGGAAATAAAGAGATCGCTGATTATGGGAGCTTTTTGTAGGTTTAGGAGCAAAATTGCGTTATGTCGAGAAATAAAATGGTTTTGTATCGTTATCACGATACATTTTTTGTTGTAATTTATTTCGAATCAACACTTTTAGCTGAAAAGTATACTAGATACAACTGCCAGGCGTCAGTTACGTCAACAAGTGCGCTATATTTACTTTGTGACGTTTATCATCTTCGAATAAGGCTCACAATGTTGACGAAACGAATGTGTATGTACACGACACGCACTTGTGTCAGTCAGGAGGATTATTGTGATTACATGAAGCAGAATATCAGTGTAAAATTAGACTAAATTTTCCATATGCATATTTCATGGGATCGGGGGTTGTTTGAAGAAACGAAAAATCCAACCAACCGGAAGGACTGGCGCTGAGAGCTGAGGGATGAAGGGAGAGGGCAGAGAGTGCACCTCGCGCTACCAACATAGCTAATTGTGAGGCAACCGCATGCCGCACGCCGCACGCCGCACGCCGCACGCCGCACGCCGCACGCCGCACGCCGCATGCCGCAATAAGTAAAAAGTGTTAATAAAGTAAACAATGTTCTTGTTCGCAAACAAAAAACATTTGTCCTCATGAATAAATCTTTGTTGTTCAATGAAAGCATTATGAGATTAGAATGTAACTTAATATTTGAAAATAAGTGAAGTAAGTTTAAGAAACTAGGTTTTAAGTCACAATGTAGGTAAATGTGCACAATATGATTATACAAATTTAAAAACTGTAAAGATTAAATACTTTTAAAAATTAATTAAGATTATTTGATTTTACTGTTATTATATATTCTTGGGGGGGGGGGGGGTGTTGATAGAAATCGTGAAAAGGAAGGGATGAGAATAAGCAGGTATTGTCACTGCAGTAGTTTTGAAACAACGTTTCTGAAGACTTCATATTCAGGATTGAAGATGTCGAGATTGTACGATGTGCTGTTATATAGACGTCTCATTCAAACAATAGGGTTGTAATGGAGAGAGGAAATGTTGTTTATGTATGTATCGATGACAATGAGCGTGAACAATTAACATTTGGATATTTTAAAGTGATGTTAACTGCAACATGTTTATAGAAGATTTGAGTTTGACACAAAAAAAGAATATAACATAGCTGTAGCAATCAGAGTAGCTTTTACAGCTTGCATTTGAACAGATAAAATGTGCTGTAGTCGCTGTTTGTACACAGTTTGCAAAAGCATTTTGGACTTATATTTATATACAGCGAGATGAGCAAAATTCATCAACAGTGACAGGGCTGTAACAGCAGTATATGGCCATCTGATCAGATAATCTGATCATAAAAAAGAACTCGAACCCAAGTGCGACACGCAAGTGATCAGCACCATTACTTACATATTTTCTTCCGCGCCATGACATATTGATTAAACGAGCGCCGCCGCGCCGCCGCGCCGCCGCCACCGCGACTTGTTGTTTCACTTCTTTCAAGAGTAATGAAAGAGTTGCCAATATGTTCTACAATATCTGATGCACGATAGTCCAATGGTTTAGGTTACGGACTTCAGATCTAGTCTCGTCCGTACGAATCCATAGTAAAACCTTGGACCTTACGTAAAACCTGATAAAATTTTATTAAGAAAAAGTTTATTGTCCATTGTCCACTGCTGGGGCTAAATCTTGGGTTGGGTGTAGTTGAGATAAATATAATAATATTACTTAGGTCGAGCAGCGATCTAAGAACTAATATTACATTTTAGTTTTTCTCTTACTTACTTATGCTTACTTTGTGAGGCATAAATATTTCTCGTATCAACTCTAATTAATAAACTGCCGTTTCTAACTCCGTTGAGTCGATCGACTCTCTGATGATGGAGTCGCGGCGGCGGCGAGGCGTAAAATTATTTTAATTAACTCGTTACAAACTCGTTTACAGTAATTAGAGCGAAGGGCGCGAGTTGGATTACTCTGTGATGTCATGTTACAAGTTACTTCGAAACAAGCGGATAAAGAAAACCTCTTGCTATTTTCAATTTGAAAAGTGTCGAATGTAAACTTACACCTTTACATTATGTGTCTACGACACGATGTTCCCAACACTTTACAATCAAAACTTTTCTACTAAAAAGACGAACACTTTTGTCATTCGCAGTCACTCTGTAGTACACAAGATTAGAAATTGTACGTTATTGTTCAAAGAAAAACTTTTATTTTAAAAAAATGCATTCATGTTTCAGTTCCCACGATAACGATTACGTTTAAATTAAATAACAATCAATAACACTGATTAAGTTTGATTTTACCTAAAAATAATCAAGAAAACAACTTTGACAAAATAAAAGCAATTAGAATAAAGAAAAACAAAGTTAGAAAATTTCTAATTAATTAAATTTAATAAATCGGCGAAGAGAAAGAAACCTTTAATAATAAATTTTTGTCAAACAACGTTCTTTACATCAAAGGAAATATAATGAGAAAAATTAAGTAATAAAGACAATAAAAAGAAATTGTTTGGGGGCCGTAGCAAGTACGTACGTAGTATACATACATACATACATACATACATACATACATACAAACATACATACAAACAGGCCGCGACTGAACACAATTCATTATTGTACTATCAGCACTACATCACATACATTGTGTACAATACAATATACAAAAGCTTTCATTGTTCATTTTGATTTGAAATGCTCACTAAGCATTACAGATAAACAAAATGAAATAAAGGCGGGAATACACGTGTCTGTACATCTAACATTAGCTTACATGCTCGTTACCGAGATATGATGTGCACGCTGCCGGCGCGGCGCAATATTGATACATTTGCAAGTTCTCTTCCCTTGTTCATGTTGCGTTCCAATAACAAGTACATAATCAAATGTTGTGTTTACTTGCATGGTAGTTACAATCACGAAAATGAGCCTACAGCTAGTGTAGCTACAGTCATTTATATTCTCGCCCTTAATCTATATGTCACTCGTCCGTTTCACTATTTCAATCATATTTAACATAATATCTTTTACACAATTGAAATAATTAAACAAATTTTCCAAATATCTAATACAAAATGTAATTTTATAGTTATTTAATAATTCTTTAGGTAGAAGAAACAAATCATCAAGAATGAACTTTAATTGGAGGCAATGACATAGTTGTAGATGAATGAATAATAGACAAACTATACCTATATTTATGTACATCTAGCTACGTCGAATTTCATAGAGTTACGCACAAGCAGATGGTACGAATGAAGAGAGTTCTGTGAACTTGCACACGAACTTGTACACGCTTTATTTTTTTTAATTAGATTATGCGAATTGAAGATATATTTTGATTTAGATTTTGATTCATGGCAAAGTCACGATCATAGCTTCTGCTTACTTCAACACATTAAATTAATAAGAGCTGTCGAGCTCTGCCAGTGACAGACGAGAGATGTTTCATTTCCTCGGCCAAATCATAGCGACATTTCATTAAGACATGATGAAAAAGAAAGATGTTATTACACGAAATTAAATTGAATTCATAAAGTATAATTGTTTACGCAGCGAAGGTAATATTTTAATCGTGATGGAACACGGATTTATAAAATAATGGAATTTATTGAAATGTCGTTGGGTTGGGACCAATTTCAGGGCGTAGCGGGTGAGAGCGCGGGGCAAAGGGCAGCGGGGTTTCGGACTCCCCCTCCACCCGCCTCGGACGTCGTGCGAGACACACACTCTCATGGAGACTTCCGTCCATGCGAGTGTGTGACTCTTCATCTACTAAATCACCAAAAAATGTATTGGTGAACTTTAATCTTGTCTTTATGGTATTATATTTTATACATAAATTTAAATTCAAGTGAAGGAACTTTGCCCCGGGGCCTTCACAATTTGGTTTGGCCCTTCCATTCATATTTTAGTAAAACAAGCTTCGCCTTTTTCCTTTATAAAATACAAGGAACATAACATAAAGATTGCGTTTTTAAATTTACATGATAATAAAAGGTGGACGATACAGATGGGTGCGGGCGGGCGCTTGTATTGCCAATAGAATGTTCATTTATCTTATTATTTCATCAATAGGACGAAATGTACTCGTATAACATATCTCCACACACGTCGTAAAATTTACATTGAAAACAATATTACGGGAGATTAAGTCGTAAAACATTAACTGAAGCTCGCACAATTGGAATCTCCACCGACCACAATTATTGTACTCAGAGAGGCGTTGGAAGTATTCTTCACATTATACGAGTAGGTACTTACATTTTATATAGCAACCGATACGAATCAATAAAACAATATGATTTTTGATCGTAAGCTTCTGTGATCGTAAGAAAGTATCGTGTAAGCCATTTCATATATTCTGTAATTCCTTAACGTAAAACGTTATTTAGTCTATGCTATAAGTCAATAACACTTTTGTTTATTTAATATAACAACATTAATCATTTGTATTACGATCCAAAAGATTATTTAAATATTTGATTCTCAAATATAAAATAGAAGTATACAACTTATCATGTTAATTATCTGACGGTATTTCGTTATCGTAAATTAAAAGTGTTGTAATTGCTCGTCTGAATGACGGCCATGTTTTTCTGACATTCGGGGAATGAGAATGACAATGTAACAGCGGTGTTTTTGAAAAAGTTGTTGTTTACAATTCTAAAG